AACAACGCATTCCTTGTTAGAAGCTTCATCATATTTCTTCAAATGGCGTTAAAGAACTGATTTTGTAGTATTATAAGTATTTTTGCTACCTGCCTTATGCTGTTTCCTGCTTTAATCTGCTGAATGGCCTCCACAATGTGAGACTTTAATAGAGCAGTCCTCTCAGGATTTTTCTTCTTCCACCTTTAAAGCATCTGTAACAAAGTAAAAATATACTTTAAAAGAATTTAATGGGACATTGTCCCAGACCTCCCACTTCTCTCCTAGAGATACAAGACAAGATATAGAAGTTAACTAGATTGGAATAACATTGTCCATCTATTGAGACTTGGAGAGAGAGAGAGAGATGAGAAACTAATCATTTATAAAGCCAATATAACACCAGTAACGGAAATGAGAATACTGAGAAGAATTAGAGGAAATTGACAGCTAATCGGCTTAAAGAAGAGTGAAGACATAACAAGACAATGTAAGTAAACAGAAAAAATAATGGAGCAATCATAAAGTAGAATACAGGAGACCAGAATTGGCTAGCCAGTGATACATCACAGATAGTAGAAGAAATCTCATACAATCGATGGAGTAACGACCTTCCATCGAAGTATTAATTCGCCAATAAACAAGCAGATTTTCATACAATGAGAAAGAAAAATAATCCTTATGCTTTTCCAGCGTTAGATTAAATTTAAAAAATATTGAAATATTTTTTTTCTACAAAATTTCTTATTTGAGATATTTAAATTGTACCTACAGTTATTGTATGTATATTTCTTTGTTGCTTCATCATATCGCAATATGATATCAAATTAAATGCCACAGTATAGAGATAGTGTATGGCTGCATTACTTAGTATTCGTAGAAAGAAATGATAAACATTGACCTGCGATATACAAATAAATAAGTATTTATAAAATAGATATTCAGTATCTTATCTATGTGTTGTTCAACAACAATAATATTTGTTTAAGACTATGTATTCTATTTAAACTGTTGTAATTGCAGATTATTAGTTGTAATCTAGTTTACAAATTGTTAATGAATAAATAAAGGAAAATACCAATGTGTTTTAAACTAATATTGGTTTCGATTACACGGCTTCAGGATTGTTTTTGTCTTGTTAACTTTTGTTATAAAACGTTCTGCCTAATCCATAACTTTTCAATATACCCATTTGCTTCTTGTCGCTGGACTGAACCCTCGGGAATGAGGATAGGTAGTCCAGTCGCACTATCCATAGCTGAAATTGACCAGAGCTGGTAAGGATCACGGTCCATGGACATATAGGCCGTATAGGCCCACAAGCTAGAGGGAAATACCTGTTTAAAACAAATGTTAATTAATGTTAACTAAAACTAAGAATCTACAATAAAAGTGTTAATTAGTCCTAGAATTAAGAATCTGTAAGAAAAAGTTAAAAGTTATCACACCTAAGACTAAGTAAGCAAAAAAAGTAAAAATGAAAAAGGTGAAAATTTTTCCATAGTTCCAAAATTTCGAAAAAAGGTGAAATTTCTATCTGAAAAGTCGATTTCGTCCAAAATGTGATAGAAGTGTTCGTCGTGGTGACTTCGGGGCGAATCAATCGCAATCATATCGCAATATGATATCAAATTAAATGTCACAGTATAGAGATAGTGATATGGAGATATTGGGACCGTGCAAGTTCGGAATAGCGACACCTGGTGTCGTAAATCAGCCAAATTTACTGCGCTTTCATGTTATATCGAGGTTACCGGATAACTGTTAAGGACGTGGCCCCAAAAAAGAATAAGAAGAAAAAGTAAGATTGAGGTTATGTCGGTATGTTATTAAAAGGTAAACGTTGATGTAGCGTAAATACAAATAAATATATTATTGAATTACAGCATTACTGTTAATATGGATGCAATAATAAAAACTGGATTTGAGAAAGTAAATCACCAAATAACTTTTCAACCAAGCACGAGTCAAAGGGAAAAGCTTTAGTAGTGGCAAATGTCAAAAAAGAATGGAAGAATTATGTGGAGTGGAAGAATTAAGAAAAATAAATTACCATAAATATTGCTAATGCATAAATTAGCAGGTTAAGCCCATGATATCATCATATTGGTTTGAACAATCAGTGAATATTCGCTCCGTGCGTGACCATGGTAGGGGTATATTGAAACGATGCCAGCGTGCGTAGCGGCGAAATATGACAAAATTGGAATATTGGACAAAATATTTTTACGCATAAGTTTTATTAAAAATGTGTGCAAATACATGTTGCGTATTTAATTCTGCTAATAAAAGCAAAAACAGTGAGTGTAGTTTTTATAGGTTCCCAAAGATTACATATAAATTAGAGAAAAGAAAAAGATGAATTGGTGCTATTAATATGAAAAAGTAAATATCACATAATTTCATTTTTATGCAATTGAAATAGGAACAATTTAAATAATTTACCTTGAATGATATTTCATAAGGCTTTAAGCTAACTGCAGATGACTTTAGCTTTTATATCATAACTTTTACTATTATTGTTTTTAATATATGCTCTTTTACGTGAAAAACTTGATTTGCCAGTACCTACTAGATTTTTCGCTTTTTTTCCGTTTGGAGTTAAAAAGATATATTATGATAAATTTTGAGAAACTCAGTTTATAATACTACATTTATTTTGTACATAAACTGAAAAAATACAGTTAAAAAACTAATTTATTAATAATTGTCAATTTCGCATGTATTTAACAATGTCAAACATATGTCATATATTTAACCTGAAAATTGGGACTCCAAATTGTCAGATGAGGGCGGTAGGTGTCGCATCAGTCACGCACGGAGCGAATATCTTAATGCATCTTCAGAAAAACTTGAACTTGATGCATTTTTGTAAACTTCAAAAAAATAAAATTCAAACATTAAACTTGATTTTTGGGTTAAAATGAACTCTAAGTGAGTGTTATGAAACTAAAATTTACACTTAAAAGTGAACTTTTATTCATTATTTATTTCAAACTGACTTTAAAATCGGGCGCAAGAATAATGCATAATTTAGGTTATGTTACTTATCCTTTTTTATGATATAAATCCACTTTTCCCTTTGTAGTAGCTTTGTGCTTCGAAGTTGGAAACGAATAATACTTAAATTGACAATTTTTTGTTGTATGTTTACAATTTATAACGCAGAATTTCCTAAATCCCATTTTCTTCAGTGACAGGTGTAAATAAACAAAACGAATATGAAATATGACAATTGACAATATGAATTTATGAAATCTATAATCTATGAAATGTGCAGTAAAAAATTTAATCCACAAGGAAAAATTCCTGTAGCTGGCTGTATACCACGTATAACAAAAAGAGGTTAATCTTTGTAAATGGGTATATTTATTTAAAAAACCCTTAAAAGGGCCACATCAATAAAACAAACGTTTTCGGACCACACAGTCCACCAGTTTTAATAACCTGATGATGGACTGTGTGGTCCGAAAACGTTTGTTTTATTGATGTGGCCCTTTTAAGGGTTTTTTTAAATAAATATACCCATTTACAAAGATTAACCTTTAACCTTTTTTTTTTTTTTTTTTTTTTTTAAATTTAAGATTTCTCCACTACTCGCACACGATCGTTTCTCGTATCCCCTCCAAGTACTTGCACGTCGCCAATAGCACAAACACATGTAACGAAATATCGACACAAAGCAAGTTATTGGAAATTTTCGACTATCGAAAATTTCCCAAGTCGATGAGACCTAAAAAATGTAGAAAAATGGTCTATTGGAAAAATGGAGTTATTTTTATATCAAAATATTTCAAAGTCCAAAAGGTAAATAAAATGTAAGAAATATATTCCAAGTTATATTCTATATTAAAATATTTCAAAGTCCAAAAGGTAAATAAAAATAAAATACTAGAAATATTTCAAAGTCCCTAAAAGAGAAATAAAAATATCAGTAAAATTATTCTTAAGTTATTTTCGATCTGAAAATATTTTTAAGTCGATAAAGACATTAAAGTTATTTTACATCCTAAAATATCCGAAAGTCGCTGAAAGAAATATAAAAAAAATATAAAAATTCTTCAAAGTTCCTTTCAGGAACTTAAAGATTCTGAAAGAGAAAATAAAATAACAATTTACAAAATTATGCTAAGTTAAAATTCCCTGAAAATACTAAATAAATCAAATAAGAAAACTATTCTAAGTTCGTTTAAGAACTTAGAAGAAATCCTGAAAGAAATAACCTTCTTCAAGTGCCATCTACGCGGTGGAGGTCGGCAATAATCATAGCTATTCGGACCTCTGAAAAGTTCATTTGATGTACAATGAATATGCAGCCAAGACATTCTACGCCTCCTTATGCTTCCCTGTACTTTAATAATTCCCTGCATTATCAGTTCGAGCAAGGTGTATTTCTTTCCACGTGTAATATGTCCGAGATATTCTAATTTTCTTGTTTTAATTGTAGGTATTTAAAATTTCCATTTATTTATTCATCCTTCTCAGAACCTCTTTGTTTGTGACGTGTTCTGTCCACGATTGTTTCAGAATTCCTTTATACATCCACAGCTCGAATGGTTCCAGTGTTTTGATTGATGTTGCATTCAAGGTCCAAGATTCCATTCCATAAAATAAAGTCGAGAAAACATAGCACCTCGCGAGTCTAACTCTTAGTTTCAGTTTTAAATCCCTTGTACATTAGCACTCTTCTCATTTTCTTGAAATTTGCTCTAGGTTTTTCTATTCTGATTTTGATTTCCCTATTACCAATTTTTATAGGTATCAGATTTAATTGCATCCCTTACTTATTGTCTCATGCTACGCCGCTGTTCCATACCATTAATCCGCTGTACACTTCAGGCCTTTACTGACAGTGGCACAAAAATATGGTCATTCGTCCCGGACTTACAATATTGTAAGATAAAAAACAGTAGTTTATTCTGTTTATTTGAACTTGCTCAGCTGACATTGTGACTGACCGCCGCAGTGGACAATGAAAACAAACTTTTAGTAGTTAAACGTTATCCGGTTATCGTTATCACAGTTGGAGACGCTACGTCGGTCGGTGCGGCAATTTTATAGGCAATACGTACATTTTTAAAGTTAGTGGCTGGTCTCATCCTGTGCCGGTCGATATTTTGTGTTTGTTAAATTTATTTCTTGGTTTAGTACATTGTCAGGTATGAATTTATTTAGTTTTTATATACTTACACTCAAATATAAGTTTTTTTATGTACACAATTGATTACTAAAAAAATTTTCTAGAACCATTTTATGTCGACATTTACTAGTCTCTAAATACCTCCATTGTACTTAAAACTAGCAGAATAAAAAAACACAAATCAAGTTTTTGCTTCTTTAATCAAATTGGTATTTGTTTAACCTTCCGCAGATAACGTGAACATTTTTAAAATTTTTGATAACGTAATATTAAAAAAAAATAGAAATTTAGCTGTACTTAATAAATATTTGTAATTATATATCATTCTCTATACAAATATATGAAATTTATATATTTTTTTGTTATTCTAATAATTTTAAGGGAGTATTAAAAAAAATTGTCATTTTTATGAACAGGCTTTTAATAAATTCAAAATAATTATAACAAAAAAAAAATAAATTCTGGTTCCAATAAAATAGTTACTTGTGTGTTAATAAACAGAAAATTATTAAAATATATAATGGTATCCTTATTATAAACAATATCAAGACAATTTTATGTGTGAATATTACAAAATACAGTGGAACTTGGTTATAGCGTCATTGAAGGGTCCAATAAAAAAATGACGCTATATCAGAGTGACGTTAAAAAAGAGGTTGAGAAAAATAAAATTTTAATGAGGGAAAATATTATTACAGCATTATTGGGTATAGTAGATATATTATTTGTTAATTACTCTGGGCCTAAACATGATAATTTAACATAGTTTACGATATACGGGAAATATAACATTTACTTAATTCAAATTTAAAAAAAAACAAGAATCATTTTAGGATAAAAAACAATTAAAAAACAAAACATATTATGTATGTATATGAAACTTACATTGTGTAAAAAAGTTCTATTGCTGAAAAAAGCCCGTTATTTTCTTTTGCACAACCCTTTCCGAAAAATAAAGTTTTTCTGTTGTTTCCTTAATAAGCTGAGCTGCTTCTTTGGTATTTGTGGATGCCTCCCTGAACTGGTAAAACCTGGATATGGTCTCAGCAGCTCTCATTGCTTCTTGGATTGTAGGACAAGCAACGATGTCTTCTTCTTCTTCAGCTTCATCGACATCCATTTCCATGTTTTGCACCAGTTCAACAATTTCTTTATCACTTAGGACTTGAAATGTTTCCACCTCATCGTCTACTGAAATGTAGGAGTCAAGATCAGTTCCGAACGCTCCCTGATTCACATTAAATTTTTGTATTCACTCTGACAAAGGCATTTCGTCATCTTTATCAACGTCCTCAACATTGAGAGAAGCTACAGTCAATTTTGCTTGACGAAAACACTTATGAATTGTCACTGACGTAACCGCACTCCACGCATTGTTTAAAAACTGAACAGCATCCAGGATGGTAATGTTCACAGGTTCTCCATTATCCATACAAAAAAACATTCTTTTTAAAAGCTGTTTTCGATAATGGTACTTTAAACTTCTTATGACTCCCTGGTCCATAGGCTGCAAGACACTCGTGCAGTTGGCTGGTAAGAACACTAGATTTATATTGGTCAAATTAAGTTTGGGATGGGCTGCACAGTTGTCAACTAGGAGAAGAATTTTTCATTTTTTGAAAGAGAGTTCCTTGTCCCACTTTCTCAATTCTTCTTCAAAAATAGCAGAAGTCATCCATGCTTTTTTATTGGCTGTGTAGTTTACAGGTAGTGTTTTAATGTTTTTGAAACATCTAGGATGTAAACTTTTCCCAATAACCAAAAGCTTTCTTTTCTCTGTACCTGTCATATTTGCACAAACAAAAGTCGTCACTCTTTGCTTGGAAAGTTTTTCACCGACACATTTTTTATTTTTGAAATTTAAAGTTTTGTCTGGCGTTAATTTATAAAAGACACCTGTCTCGTCACCATTAAAGATATCTTCATCTTTGTATGGTTGCCTTTGTTGTGGCCATGTGTTTTGTAACCAGTCACTTGTTACGTTCTCGTCCACACATTTTGCCTCTGCAACAATTTTCGAGAAGGAAATTAAGTGCCTGGCTTTAATCCGATCTAACTAGCCGTTAGAGCATGTGAAATCTTCACCAAACAATTTTCCGAACTCTGTAGCTTTCTCCTTTAAAAGTGGCCCGGACACAGGGATATCAGTACTGCGACACTGCTTGAACCATTTGAGTAGAGCTGAATCTACATCACCACGAATGCACTTCCTAATCTTTTTAATATTGTTTCCGTTCTCTTTAAAGGCTTTTAAAATTTTGTCCTTGTTTTTTATGATTGAGCCGACAGTCGAATTAACAAGTCCAAATTGCCGGCATACATCAGCAATTTTTCGACCACTTTCAAATGCTCTTATAACACGCACTTTTTCTTTAATAGGCAAAACCTTCCTTTTAGTCCTACAACTTGCCATATTAAAAAATAAAAGCTAATTACCATATTAAAATAAAAAAAACAAAACGATCCGAACACAATTTCACGGTAGCGAAAATTTCTTAAACCGACTGTTCCGACAGAAAATTTGACTGTTAGGAGTGTTAGGACGGCACTGATAAATGCGAAATTATAGATTGTCAGGGTAACATAACTGTACACAGAAGGGATAATGGACCTTTCTTACATTCTTGGAAGGAACAAATGCCGCAAAGCCAGAAACGCATTGCACTTTATTCTTCATAAAATAAAAAAAGGATAACCTACTATAAAATTTTATGACGCTATAACCGAGGGTTAGTTTATTTTTAGCCGATAAAACCGGGTTTTTAATAACGTTATGGAATAGTTTTTGACCGGACCTATTAAAAATTGATGTTATAACCGAGATGACGTAACTACCGAGGCCGTAATAAGCGAGTTCCACTGTATGTCATTTAAAATATTGTGCAATATTGTGTGACTTCACTACACTCATATTCGATGGACAGCCAGCTCATCCGATCTAAATAAAGTTAACTTCATCGTTATTTATTTTGATTTTGTGTTTAGTTCAGTAGGTATATACGTACACATGTTGTGTACATTCATTACCACTTTTTTGTATCTTTTTAAACATCTGAAATATTGAACTCTGAAGTATAAGTTCGATATCACGGAAGAGATAAAAGGGAGAATTCAGGCAGCAAATAGATGTATGTATAGCCTCCACAATACTATTAAATCCAAGAGCCTAACACGAACATCAAAAATCAGGATATATAAAACAGTAATTAGACCGGTGCTCATGTATGGGTGTGAGACGTGGACCCTGACAAAATCAATGGAAAGTAAACTCAGATGCTTTGAGAGAAAAATCCTTAGAAAGATCTTCGGTCCCTATCACGATCCGAATACTAACCAATACCGAATGAGAACAAATACCAAGGTCAAACAAATGTATAGTGCTAGCGACGTAGTCCAAGAGATTAAATCCCAACGTCTAAGATGGGCTGGCCATGTTCATAGGCTCCCTAATAACCGCCTTACCAAGTTAATCTGGGAAGAAGTCCCGACAGGGAGAAGGCCCTTAGGACGTCCACGAATGCGATGGAGAGATAATATATAGTCAGATTTGAGAACAATGGGGCTACCCACTGACTTAAACATCATGGACGACCGTTCGAGATGGAAGCAGGTTGTGCAGTCAGCCAAGACCCACCCCGGGTTGTAGTGCTACCAGAAGAAGAAGAAGAAGTATAATTTGATTAACCTGTACCCACGTGTAATAAAAGATAATTAAAACTTGTTTTAAAAATTTTAGTTATGATTAAATATTATAATAACATAATTTTATTATGACTTTATAATTACTATACCTAATTAAATTAGCCAAATTATATAAAAAAAATTTTTAAATTAAAAGTCTTTACTATACAACTACATTCAAATGTTGCGGGAATAAGCGGTCTTGACTACGTCATGTGCGAAAGCGAACCGATTTTGGAACATTATGTACCTATCATACCTTGTATTCCTTGTACCATACTTATTATGTAATGCTAATAGCATCCGGTAAATACATTTTTGTTAAATAAAAGAAAATAAAGAAAGAAGAAAAAATAATTTGGTCAACAGCACGGTTCGTAGACTTACTACGGTTGCCTCTTCCGACTGGGGTGGGGATGATTGAGCTACGTCACCAGAGTACACAAGAATAGAAAACCCATTTATTCGCGATTGAAACTGAATGTAGAGGCTAGAGGCACAGAACAACGTAGAGGGCTGGTCGATTGCAGTGTCATGGCCGATATAAATGGTATAAACAAATACAAACATAACAGTCGAATGTTTACCATTGCTTTTCCATGTTTAGTTTGGTTGAAGACTAGTTATTTATATCATTTAAAAATGGAAATTAACCTTAGTGATATCTTTGAGTATTGTGGTGAAGTAAAGAGTCCATTGAAATCGTAGGCTTCCACGGCCAGAGTCAGAATTATAGTTTATTCGTCTTCCGGGTTTGGACCGTGTCATTTGTGAGTGACCCAAAAGTGGGTTCATCTCATGAGATGAACCCACTTTTGGGTCACTCACAAATGACACGGTCCAAACCCGGAAGACGAATAAACTATAACAAAGAGTCCATTGGTTGAAGGGGAAGCAGTTTTCAAGTGATGAATTTCTAAATTTTAACTTTAATGTTTTGAACTGGCTTGTGTATTGATGATGATGAATCCTATTTTATGTATACCTGAGAACCCAGAATATAATATTCTGTGTAATGTTTGTCTTAACTAATATATGCATTATTTTATAGTATGCCTTATGTTTTTAATATGTTAATTTTTATTTTTTTAATAAGAACTAAATAAGAACTAAAACAGGCAATAGAACAAATAGGCCTGAACATAAACTTTGAAAAAACAAAATACATGACCCCAATTTAGTTCCAAGTGATGTTATGAGGGTAGATGGGAACGAAGTACATCAGGTCTTTAGCTATATCTATTTAGGGCATGAAATTAGAATAGGAAAAGACAATCAAACTTGTGAGATCCAGCGTCGCATAGGCTTGGGATGGGCAGCATTTGGCAAGATGCGAGATATTCTAAAAGGAACTCTACCGATTTTCTTGAAGAAAAAGGTTTACAACCAATGCAATCTGCCAGTAATAACATATGATTCCGAAACAATAACTTTAACCAAACATTCTGCAAATAAATTGAGAGTAACCCAAAGAAAGATGGAAAGAGCAATGTTGGGAATAACTAGAAGAGATATGGTACCAAATAGGATAGTGAAAGATAGGACTAAAGTGACAGATGTCATAGAAAAAATTGCACAAGCCAAATGGAGATGGGCTGGACATATAGCACTTTTAAATGATAATAGGTGGACCAAAAGACTCATAGAATGGAGACCTAGAGAAGACAAAAGACACCGAGACAGACCACCAAAATGATGGATCGCCGACTTGAGAAAAACAGTCGGAAATTGGATACAGAAGGCGCAAGATAGAGAACAGTGGAAGAACATGGAGGAGACCTATATCCAACAGTGGATGCAAGAGGTTGAGGAATGATGATGATGATGAATTTTTATTTTATACTATTTTTTGACATATGTAGGTACTTTATTGTATATTAACATAAATAAATAACTTGAACTTGACTTTATTGTAAGATAGTTCATTTGATTACATGAAATCAACCTTAACTTGAGATCACCTATCAGAAAATATCATAGCACATGATTTGTCTTTAAAAAATTCCATAATAAATTATTTTTTTTTTCAAGTTTTTCAGTTTAGGAAAGAGAAATAGGGACATATCTTTTGTCGATCTTGAATTGCATTGAGGACCAAAACAATATCGATTTGATTTAAAATGCTTTAACGTATAATCGTCATTATAACGTCATAATGCTGAAAATTTACTAAAAAAAATAATAATTCTATTCAAATCAACAGCTGTCTGGTTTGTTTATACCACTTTTATGCCCGGTATTATAAAACATTTTACTTGCCAAGTAAAATTTAGTTTAAAAGTAAAATAATTTACTCTACAGATTTGCGTATTATAAACGCAAAGTAAATTAATTCTGGAAGTAAATCCGCGAACTAAACTATTCGTTAGTTTTCTACCAAGTAAATTTTATTTAACAAGTAAATATGACATTAATGACAGTTTTAATGTGTTTTTGGCTGGTGTGAAAATGTAGTAATAAGGTTATGTTTTAGGTTATAAACATTATATTATATATTATAAAACTTTAGATTATAAACGTTATCTGTGATACATCACATCACTTTTTACAATTTAAAGTAAATGCAGGTTAACGTGCACGTTATTTATATCGTTTTGATACATCATAGGGCTGAATGTTACGACTCAAATTACGTCACGAGAGTACAGTTCCGGCTAAATATTCATTGGTTAGGTAGAAGAGGCAACCGAGTAAGTCTACAAACCGTGGGTCAACACCAAGTAACTTGAGCAATGTTGAATCACAATTAAACGATTTATGCCGATAATTACGAGTATTACATTCAAAAATTACGAAGAATGATGGTTTACCAATCAAGGTACCTATATTAAAGAACAAATTTTATTTTTAACCAAATATATAAAAATTCTATAAATTATCACGCTAATAATATGATTATATTTTGGAGGTTACATATTTCAATTAAATATTTTTCAATTATGGATAATGCTATATAATTTATTGACACAGTCAATAGGCAAAAAATTACATTGTTGCTACGAGATGTTAAAAAATGTTTTCGAATATTTTTTCGTTTTGCAGAGATCCAAAATTGTTTTACATTTTATAGTCCAGTTACTGAGGGTTTTTACCTCCGAATTCTTTATAACTGAATCGATTCATTTGAAATTTTGTGTGTTGGTAAATAATTACTCAAGGGACAAAAATTATATAGTGCCAATGTGCGTTTCTACCCTGGGGGTGTTTGCCACCCCTTTTCGAGGGTGTTTTCGCAAAAAATAAAACAAAACTAGTTTAAAACATATATACTGACATATAAATCAACAACCATTAACTTTAATAATATTACCAATATTAAAAACTTTAATATATTATACAATATAATATTAATATGAACGAGTAGAAACGATTACATTTAAATTTGGCAGATTGTAACTCCAGTCGACTAGTTCACGAACTTACAAGTACGATTGCGCGAAGCCATGGAATATATACCAAACTCTCGGTCTGTAGATCCTTGTATTACTTTGCGTCAGTTTTCTCGGTCGCACTGAAGGAACGCGAATGTATTGCAGCAGTCAGTCTATCTTGTATATGGCTATATTATAGGTTAAAATCAAATAACCTTGTGGACCTATAAAAGTTATAAATACAAATTAATTTGGAGAGACAATCGAATCTTATAAAATTTGAGAACATATAGCCGAACAATTCAGAAATTTCAAGTAAATCTTGGAAAATTACTTAATTGCTTCTAACACAAGGACACAAACAGAGACAAAATAAAAGTTGCTATTCTTTTAAATTTAATACGTGAAGAAAGAGTTGAGGTTATGAACACATTGGAACTTTACAGATGACCAAAAACAAGTTTTCATTGAGGAGTCATTACAAAGATTGTTGTGTTACAAAGATTGAATATAATAATGAACGAAATAAGTTAGAAGAAAATAGAAAATTTTATGAGCAATATAACCGAACGACATTGAGATGAAATGAATTTTACAGTAATGATAATGTAGTAATAAAAAGAGATCAATATGATCATCGGTCAGAATTATACCCAAAGGTGAAAACTCACATAGATCTTACATATTATTAGAAAAAGAAAATGGAGATATTGTACCAAGAGAAATCGCTGGAAATAACTTTCAAGTTTCTGGGTTAACCGCTAGGGGGCGTAACCTGTGAAGAAAACTTTGAAAACCAGTTTTTTGGGAAATATGCCCAATTATACTAAGTGTTAAATAAGTAAACAAGAAAGAGGCCTAAATTCTGCACAAAGTTGTTCAATTGTTTTAATTTTTTTTTTTCAAATAAAGGTTGGGGGAGAGTGGGAAAGTATTTGTGGATAAATGCCTATAACTTTGGTTTGGAACAACCGATTTTAACGAAATTAATGTCATTAAAAAGAGTGTGGATGAATTAATTTACATCTAGTATAAAATAATTGCATTTAGTTTTAATTGTCATAGGTAGAGGGTACTTTCGAATAGAAAAAATTAAAATTTGATTTTCTTTAAAATGTTTAATGGAAACACCTATTTATTGTAAATTATAATGGAACTGGATTAAATTCGTAACAAAAAGTCGGTACTAATTTCGCTGGATCAGCTAGTATAACTATTTTTTTTTTTTAGATGCTGTCATGAGGAAGAAGGAGCTACTGATCCTTTTGACATTTTTAACAACATTTGTCACATCAGGTGTTCCACCTGTACCTACTACACCTGCACCTCCTACAGTTAGTAATTGCGGATATGAAGTAAGTAAAATAGGAGAATAAAAGATTCGTTTTTACAAAGTGAGTTTAAACTATGAAATATCTCAATTATCGCTGAAACGACTCAAATTAATTTGGTTTTGTGAAGGTTTTGTAATACGTTTGATCTTTTGGTACCTAGTATTTACATTTTTGTCAGATTTAATAGTTTTTGTAAAAATATAATGACCATTGACATTTCTAATTGATCGCTGGTATATTTTTTTCTTTCTGAAAGACTTGAAAAATAAAATAAAAGGAAAAATGCCAGTGGTTGGCTGTATACCGCACTTTAAAAAAATTACAAGGAAGTAAATGCTTCTGATCTTAACACAGAGATCAAAAGAAAAATTCGCGATGCTAAAAAACAATAGTTACAAGACAAATGTAAGGAGATTGAAAACTTGGAAGCCAAATATGATTCGTTCTATCTTCACAAGAAAGTTAAAGAAATGATCAACAATAGAAACAGGAAGCAGACAGTACTTATAGATCAACAGGGAAACATGATAATGGAAACAGAGTAGAAACTAAAACATTGGCAGACATACATAGAAGAACTGTTTGACGATCAAAGGCAGCCTCCTTGTGATAATTTTCCAGAGGAGACAGGTCCAAAAATAAGCAGAGAAGAAGTAATGTGTCTGCAAAGAATGTGAATGTAATGTGTCTTGTAATGCAAAAAATGTGATCAGTCTGATGAGCCATACCTTAAAAATATTCCTCAAAATAATTAACAATAAAATTTACAGAAAATCGGAAGAAAATATCGCAGAAAGTCAGTTTGGATTCCGGGAGGGATATGGAAATCGCGAAGCATTATTTGCCTTTAACATCTTGACACAGAGGTGTTTGGATGTGAATCAAGATGTATTTGCTTGTTTCATTAATTACAACAAAGCGTTTGATAACGTCAAGCATGACCAACTTTTAGAGATCTTGAAAGCTAAACAGTTAGACACTCGTGATATAAGAATAATATCTACTCTGTATTATAATCAGAAGGCAGTTGCACACATAGAAAATAGCACAACAAATGAAATTCAATCCCATTCAATCAGGAAATGCAGGGCTACTCAAAACTATAAAAAAAATACAGGGTGTCCCATTTAAAATATTGACGATGCATTTTATTGGGCACTCTCTGTATACAAAATTTGGTCTGTTGCTAGACTGTTGGTCGTTACAGATAAAATAATACAACTTTTATTTAAAACTTTTTTTTTTGTATTTCCGAAATTAAGAAAAATAAGTGGGGGGTTAAAATATAATGAGAAACCCTGTCTTCTTCTTAACGTGCCCTATCAAGTCCCCTTGACGTTGGCGATTAACATTGCGAAAGTGTCTCTGTCTCGAGCTATTCTAAATAGTTGCTCAGCTTTCTTTATTCCTGTCCACTCCCTGATATTCTTCGACCAAGAGGCCTGCTTTCTACCAATTCCTCTGCGTCCTTCGATTTTACCCATCATAATAAGTTGAAGAATATTATATCGGTCTCCCCTTCCTACGTGTCCAAAATAGGCCATCTTTCTACATTTGATGTTATCAAGCAGCTCGCGAGCAGCATTTGCTCTTTCAATGACTGCCACATTTGTCAGCATAGCCGTCCATGGAATTTTTAGTATACGTCTGTGCAGCCACATCTCAAAGGCCTCCAGACGATTAATCGTGGATATTTTTAATGTCCATGCTTCGACGCCGTATAAGAGGACTGACCAAATGTAGCATGTAGCCATGCGCTTTCGAAGTTGAAGTTGCAAGTTATCATTACAGAAAAATGACCTCATTTTTAAAAATGTCGTGCGGGCTATCTCGATTCTACATTTTATCTCTTGATCTGGATCTAGTTGTTCAGTAATATGGCAACCAAGATATTTAAAACTGGACGCTCTTTGAATTATATGTAACAGGGGATGTACAGGGAGCAACCCTGTACATTCACAATAACGAAATCGAACGGGTGGACAAATATAAATACTTGGGAACAAGTGTTAATAACAACAATGACATCACAGAAGAAATAAAAACTAGAAATGGAAAGGCTCGAGCTGCTTTTGTTAATATGAAGGACATTCTGGGATGTATGATACAAATTTCTAATTTGAAATTGGTTATTAGGAGAATGATTTTGATCTAGAGGGTGAAGTGCGTAAGTAGAATCTGTTTTTCTATCATTGACAGCTCTTTTGTGTTTTGCTATCCGTTTGTTAAAGGTTCTATCAGTTTGACCGATGTAAGTTTTTGGGCAGTATACACAAGTGCGCTTGACGTACACTGAGCACCTGAATCCAACCACTGCAGAAGGTTGTAGCTTCAGAATAATCGTTTTTCAGACCTAGGTCCCATTGACTTTTTTAATCTACGTACTGAGAACTATGATTGACCGAACTTTCATTTAATTTGACCTAAGCCGGTTTTCCATAAGGATAGGTGCAGGGTCTTTGGGCACTCAAAAACTTTTAATGTTTTTTTTTTGTTTTAGTCATGCCATCCGGTAAAGGGCGAAAATTTTATAAATGTTCACATTGTTCCTCATACTCACGATGATGTTGGTTGGCTGAAAACTGTTGATCAATACTTCTATGGCAGTAAGTTGTCCAGATATTTGTTGAAGCTTGTAAACAATTATCGATTTATTCCAGGCAAAACGTTTATACAGAATGCAGGCGTGCAATACATTTTGGATTCAGTAATAGATTCTTTACGAAAGGATCCGAATAGAAGGTAAGTCTTACTGTTAAAAACGATTTTCCATCTTCATTTGAAAAGTGTTTATATATTTTTTTAAAATATCCATGTTTTAGGTTTATTTATGTCGAAACGGCCTTCTTTTGGAAATGGTGGATTAAACAACATGATGTTGTTAAAGCTCAAGTTAGGAAATTCGTGAACAATGGACAACTCGAATTTATAAGTGGAGGATGGAGCATGAACGATGAAGCTGCCACACACTACCAGTCAATTATTGATCAAATGACCTGGGGTTTGAGGTAAAAAATTTTATTAAATATATTTAAAGCCTAAAATGATCGACACAGTTTTGTAAATTACTTATTATTTAAAGAGTATGTGGAAATTTTCACTGTAAGTAAATTGTAAACGAAAGCTTTAGAAACCTTTAAAAAATTAGTTATGGTTTGTTAAATATGGTTGCTACATAATGCTTGTCTTGATATATTTGAGTTTTCATTAATTTCTTGATGTTCTTACAACCAAATAAGGTACATATTCAGTTTAAACGCTGTAATTGAGCTTTTTTTATTTTTTTATTGGATCCAATGAAAAACAAGTACCCTTTAAATTTAATCCCATACACATATAATACCTTTAACCAATTTTTTTACTAATTTATTTCGAAATTTATTTTTAAAACTTTTTTCTTTTGTTACTATTTTTTTGTTTCGTACTATTTTTTTATAATTTTATTAATAAATCACATACGGTATTAAATAAATCCTGATCAATTTGAATTTTGTGATTTATTTATTTATCTATTTGTCAAACGTTGCTTTATTCGACTTTCATTGATTTGACATTCATGTTTTTGATATAAAATTGAATATGTGTACTGAATATACTCACCTAGGAGCTGCATGTGCATTATAAATAGGATCAAGTTTTATTTTGCTATCTTCGAGCAATTTATATGATGTTAATTTTTTTTTCGTCTTTTTAGGGGGGTCTGAAATATGTACAAAAAGGGTGTATATATGTGGGAAATTATTAGTATAATTTCAGTGTACGTGGACTGTATTATATAGGGCTGGTTCAAATAAATTAGGATATGTAGTAAAAGGTATACAGACAATAGCAAATTAAGTTTATAGAAAGTCTTACCAATATTTTGTCTGCTCCACACACTCGCGGTTTTTTTTCTTATGCGGAATATGTCCGGGCACACTCGCGGTTTTTCTAAACACGTGTTTCGCGGTACTACACTTTGCGAGATAGAGCACACTTTGTACACGATTTAAGACAGTATTTTCGACATTTCTCGCGTAACTAAGGCAGGAAAGAGGTAATTGCGATAGAAAAACAGCCAAAATAGATGCTGTTCTTCTTGATAAGCGATGAGAGAGAGAATGGTCTGTCCTTGGCGACAGCCGTTAATCAAGAGGGTGTCTTTCTTCTTTGCTATCTTGAAACTGTCTGTATTTGTAACGGAGGAGGGTCAAAATGTAAGTAGGAAGGGTTATTAAGGGTTGGACTAAGATGATGATTGTAAAATTGTGATGATTTTTCATGAATTTTCGCATGTGAAAAAATTAAACAAAATCTTTTAGACATCTTTAGATGTCTAAAAGACATCTTAGTTCAGGTTAACGCATGACTGAGCTTAGCGCATTATTCAATCTTCGTGGTCCCGGCGATAGTTCCCCTATCTCCTAAGGTATGCCCCTTATTGTTGATTCTACTCCAAATGCCTACCAGCTAAAACAAACCCTCTTCTGTCATCCTTCCAGTGCACCGCTGTAACGCTGAGTAACTGTCAGCAGCGAGGTTTTCTGTCCCTTTTCCTTGTTTAACCTTTATTGGTTTCAAAATTGGGATTTTTTTTAAAGAGGGGCGGTTTTCCAGATAGTGAAGGGAAGACTCTTATTGCTTTTAGAACAGCATCACTCCCAGCCGGGCATTTTCTTATTTACCTAAGTCTGACTTACTTGTTAGCTTCTTATTAAAACGTATTTCCTATTCCTTTTACTTGTAACATAATTCCTCTTGGCGTTTGCCCTTGATCAGTTTCCTTTATTTATCTTCTTTCTTCTTGATTACCGCACGGATGTAATTATGTATTTTAGTGCAACCTACTTTATTTTCAATCATATTTTCAATAAATTCTATCACTTCTAAGCAAGTCAGCAATTCTGAACCCAGAGAGGTAGGTTCTAAAACAGCCGTGTCCTGTGAGTATCTGTGTTAAGAAATAATCCAGTCGCCCGTGACCACAGTCCAGCGAAATCTCAGTTCATGATCGGCATCTTCGTCCACTGTGCCACATACTCTGTGTTGTTTTATTCCTCTTTATTGACCTTTTCGTTTCTTGTCATCTCTCGACCATAGCAAGTTCTAGGTCTTTTCTCACAAATAAATCTTTTGCAGATAATCATATCCAGTGATGACCTACAAGGCTAACGCAGAAACAGTCCTGTAAGTGTATGCTTCTTGCAGCAGACTTGTTCTGTTTACTCGTGTCATGAGCCTACTGTAAGTTGGTATCTCTACCGCTTCAGACTGGTGCCACTTAGAAGACGATCGACTGCAAAAACACTGTGTAAAGCCCTTCCCCTTTTAGATTTGGGTCATCCAATCTTAGGCGCGACCGCACTATTTTCATCATTCTTGACAACTTCTCGCACGTGCTCTCCTACTTTCCATTATGGTGCTACGTTATTCCCAGGTACTTTATGTGTTTCTTGGATGTTAGACTTCGTATTCACAGTTCATAACCCCGTCATATGCCAGGTTCCATAGCGTTGAGCCCAAGAAAGATCCCTGGGGAATCTCGGCCGTCAAATTGGCGATCGTGCACTTCTCCACCATAATCCTTTTCTCGGAGAGGTACTGCATCACCACGTATAATGAGCAACCAGGACATTATTTCTCCTTTGTTGTCTTCATTACCTCGTTCCACTGCAGAGTATTGAATGCATTCCTAACATGGAACAACAGTAGGGCCGACCAGTGTTGTTTATCTCCTCTATTGCGCAATATGTCAAATATATTCAAGATTGCATTTGTCGTGCTTTTCTTTCTGCAAAAACCAAATTGCCCTCTGAGATAAGCCTCCTGCTCTCTCAATCTTGTTATCGACGCGCCCTCGTAGGGCGCATCAATAACAAGAACCGATCAATCGAATGGAAACGTGTGTGTTTCCATCAATGCATTTATATGTCCAGAAGTCGCTCAGGCTCTGCCTGTCCTAGATCCTTCACCATCTCAGATAGTATCTGACCCAGTTCGTGAGATCTACGCACCTTGAGTGCGCCCACTGCCTTGACTAGTTCATCTATGATAAAAGGTACGGCCTATTCAGCTCCATCGTACTCCATGCCATATGCCGGACGGGAAGAGCTTCCGTATTACCTCGAGCTTCTTGTCCATAGACATTTCGTCCTGAGGCATGCATGGAACTTCTTTATGGCAATCCATTATTTCTGACCATAAAGTTCCTCATACAGCTTTTCATCCGTCCAGTTATTTCCAATGCCTTTTTAATTAGAAGACACACTTAGCCCGCTAAAACGCAGTTATTCTTGTTTCGATGCCCTGGAAGGTCACCCGACACCGATGGAAGGTCAAAAATGTGCTGAGATAATTTTTGTATTCTTCCTTGATGATGATGATGTAGTGTGTTTGGCTTAAAAACTAGTTCATTTGCCACAGATTTTTGAATTCTTTGAATTCTACTTAATCGTAATATTTATATACCTGGTTTTTGTTTCAGAAAATTAAATGATTCCTTTGGAGAATGTGGTAGGCCAAAAATGGGATGGCAGATCGATCCATTTGGTCATAGTAGAGAGATGGCCTCCATATTTGCTCAATTGGGTTTCGATGGTTTATTATTAGGCAGAATCGATTACCAAGAAAAGGATTTTAGACTGTCGACAAAAACTGCCGAAGTAGTTTGGAGGTCTAGCCAAAATTTAGGTTAGTTTTTATTTTATAATTAAGGACACCGCACAACGGTTGGTCGGTATTAAGGATGACAAAAAAATTTTTCTTCTCTTACTGAAGGTATAAATATTGTGTTTATATGGGAATAAGCCACAATTAATTGTAATTAAAATTACATTTTTGATTAACCTAAATTTGACGTTTTGTTTTCCACTCTGGCAATCGTTTTCAAATAATTATTTAAGAATTTTGTTGAAATGTAATATTCTTGTAATACCAGCCTGTTCCCTCAGAACGCACGTTACCTCAAAAACTGTCGCAAAGCAGTCCCTGAATCTCTTTTTAATTTGCCAGGTTTATCGACATCGTGACCTAAATGACCAATAAGAAGGTCACATGGTCAATAAATCCGGCCCGTAACACAAAGATGCAGGGATTAGTTTTCTCTGTCGCACTGGGGAACGCTACTGTATTGCAACACTCAGTCTATTTGTATATCCGACAGAATTTCAGGTTATATCTTCTAAAAAATTGAGTTGACTTACTTGGAAGTTGTCCTCGGTGTCATTGGAAACAATCATGCGTGGCTGGAAAGATATAAGGGTGGATTTAATGCCCTATGGAACTTCACATTCTAATTATTATGCGTGCTTCTTTATTATTTGTATATGCTTAAACGTTTGTGTGCGTTGGTTTAGTCTGTTTGTTTGTTGCGTGTGTGTGTATTGTGTATGATTGAAGACGATGTGTCTTAACGAGTTTCTTAATCCACTATTGTTAGGTATATTCTTGATATTGACTTTTTTTAGTATTGGCAACTAAAGCCTGCTAAATTCTGCAGATGGCTTTGCTACTCATTTTTTCTTCATTGAGTAGGATGAGGACTGCTAGGACACCCCTTGGTCCTGGAGTTGGGAAACTGGCTTCAAAGGCGGAAGAACCGTGGAAGCTAGTAAACGGCATAGAGATGAGCAAGAAAGATTGGGACAAGACACCTTATTAAACATCCGGATTGGATAAATCCTAGTAGAATGAAATGGCTATACTTGCATCTCAATTGGATCTATAGGAGGAGTAGTTACAAGAATAGGAGACAATTAAAAATAATTATAACGGAGTCAGCAGAGGAAACTGTCGGAAAAGCCAAAAGGCAAAGAAATGCGGAATGGTATGATGATGAATGCAGAACTGCAGTAGACGAAAAAAAAGGCAAGCTAGACTTAACCAACTTCAAAGAAACACAAGAAATAGCAGTGAGATTTATAACGAAAAAAGAATACAAGCGACTAGAATATGCAGAAGAAAGAAAAGAGAGGCTATGAAAAAACAAGTACAAGAAATCGTAAAGCATAACAACAGACGCGAAAGCAGAAAATTCTATAAATGCATAAAAGAAAGCACACAGTCATTTAGACCAAAACTAACGATATGCGAAGACAAGGACGGAGAACTACTAACAGAGAAGAAAAAAAATATAATGAGATGGAAACAATATTTCGAAGAAAATCTAAATGCAGACAACGAAAATGATCAGAACGAGACAATATATTATACGGCGGAGCTGCACATCGAAAATCCGAGTTATGAAGAAGTAGTTCAGATAATAAATAAATTAAAAAACAATAAAGCACCAGAAACGGACGGAATTTTGGCAGAATTATTAAAGCATGGAGGATCCGAACTCTGGGAAAGAATCCATTACCTAATAACATTAATATGGACGAAGGAGCAAATGCCAGAAGAATGGACAGTTGGCCTCATACAGCCAATATATAAAAAAGGAGATAAGAGGGAATGCCAGAATTATAGGCCAATTACATTGCTAATGTAATATATAAAATTTTTTCTGGTATAATCTACAATAGATTATTAGAATACTCCGAAAATATAATTGGTGATTATTAAAATGGATTCAGACCAAATAGAGCCACTACAGATAACATATTCATACTAAGAACGATACAAGAAAAAGCTTATGAATACGACATAGACCTATATAATATGTATATAGACTTTAACCAAGCTTTTGATAGTGTGAAAAGAGACAGAATGCTGTAAGACCTTTGTAATCTAGGTATACCTAACAACTACATCAGCCTTATAAAAATGACGTTGCAGGGTTCAAAAGCCGCAGTCAGAGTAGATGGAGAACTGACTCCCCTGTTTAACATCAACATGGGAGTAAGACAGGGAGATGCCCTATCAACCATGCTATTCAACCTAGTTCTTGAAACAGTCATCAGAAAAACAAATATAACCGGCTATATAAACACCAAATCAGTACAAATTACTGCATATGCAGACGATGTAGCCATCATTAGTAGGAATAAGCCACGACTAATGGAAGTGTTCAAACAAATTGATCCTGAAGCAGGAAAAAGAGGTCTCAAAATAAACGAAGCAAAAACGAAGTATATGACAGTCAAAAGAATAACTCACAATGAAAATAATATCACAATAGACAACTATACTATCGAACGCGTGGATGCCTTTACATATCTCGGCACAGAAATCAATCAGAAGAACTCCATAAGTAGCGAAATTAATGCACACATTTCCAGCGGGAATCGTACATACTATGCCAATAAAAGATTGACGACATCGAAATTATTAGACAAAAGAACCAAAATGACTATCTACAGAACACTGATTAGACCCGTAGTAACCTATGGATGTGAAACTTGGGTAATGACGAAAAAAGATGAAGCCCAACTCAGGACATTCGAGAGAAAAATACTGAGGAAAGTATATGGCCCGGTACAAGAGGAAGATCGCACATGGAGAATCAGGAGAAACGACGAGGTTAATGAGTTAAATGAAGGTTATGACATTTGTGAAAAGTCAAAGACTGTCATGGCTGGGACATGTGCAGAGACAAAACGATGCAAAAACAACAAAGAAAAGGTTACAATGGAAGCCCATAGGAAGGCGAAAAAAAGGAAGGCCTAGAACGAGATGGTTGGATGACGTGGAAGACCACCTGAAATCAATGAATATAAGACAATGGAGAAGAAGGGCACAAGAGAGATAAGAATGGAAGGACATAGCCAGACAGGCAAAGACCCATCCAGGGTTATGATGCCAAAAGAAGAAGAAGAAGAAAAGTTACAAGAATAACAAAAGATTAGCTAGAGAATTTTCAGATTTGTTGTACTGGTGATAAAAATTAATAGTTCTATTTTTAAACTTATTAATTTAGAAAGTGTTTTGTTGGGGTGACGAAAAAATCTTCAAATTTATTGCTATATATAGAACACTGGAGTATATTTTGAATTCTAAATCATCTCTATATAAAAATAAAATAGCCCTTGACAATGCTTGCACAAAAATGAAGAGGAAATGGGTGAAAGTATCCACTAACAATACAATTTCTCACTCAATTTTTTCTCTTTTTAAATTCCGCTTCGGATTTATTATTAAATTTCTAACAATATCTGTGGTCATAAGCAATATTTGCTTGTTGAATTCATTCTGAATACCTTCCATGGATCCCCTTTTTTTGTTGGAAACTCTAAAACTTTTAATTATAAATGTGCTTTGTGCTTGCAAGTTACTGGCCTATGCCAGCAAGTGGCATACCAGCTACTTTCCCAATTTACTGGTATGTGTGTAGCCGGATTATGAAACTGCGTTTGTTGTGATGTTAGAGATTTATCAATATTCGAATAGTTTTCAGGTGAATTAACTTTAATTTGCTTATCTCTAATATTTAAAATACTATCTTAAACTAATATATAATTATAATATCCTTAACTTAATTTTAGGAGAAAAAAGTAACATATTTACTGGATCCATGTTCAACGTTTATTCACCTCCCAGAGGATTCTGTTTTGATTTGTTATGTTCAGACGAGCCAATTATTGACGACAAAAAAAGTCCAGATTACAACGTTGATGAAAGGGTAAGATCTGTTAATATCCATTAAAATGTCTATTGTTTCAATAAAAACATGTAAAATATTTTATGACACGTATATATTTGTATGACCATAAAAATATCAAAGTGCTTTCGTTCCAAAAAGTATTGCAAAATTTTAAAAATCAGAAATCTAAAGTACAATCGTACATTTGCCGACTTTTCTGCTATTTTGCGTATTATACATATTAAAGAGTTAATCCACACCAAAAACTATGTATTATCCAGAGGGCGCCACATACGTCTTTCAGCGCTCATTTAATTTCGTTTCGTTCACGTATAAACTTTTTAATTTCCCACTCTAATGATTTTGACATCAAAATTTTGATTCCCCTTTTATTTTTTATTCACAAAGATATACTACCTTCATCTCACTAAACTTAACCGTTTTCGAAATAAACGTCAACTTCCACTATGTGCAATAATGATACCTTTCACTGCTTTACCTTGATAAGGTTCATGTGGTCTGGTGAAAATCAAAATTTACTATACCAGCTAGTCATTCAAGTCATAGCCACCATGATCGTGATCATTTTATAGGTTTCTGAGTGGCTATTTCCATCCTTTGATTTGCCTGGACTGTCTCTAGCTGATCTAGAGTCTTGCTGACCTTTGGCTTAGTTACATAGCGTTAGGACTGGATGAAGATTTGGCATTGTAACCCAACTCGTCAGCCTTTTCATCAGTCCATGAAGTCTTTCTCCTCAGTGGAGCTGACTCTGACAATCCCCTGTTTTCCAGGACTTATGGCTTCCTTAGCAGTTTTCTTAAAGTCTTTTGTAGATACCTCAATCGTATTATTACTATTATAGTACCAAACTCATTTAGTTCCTACGATTAGCAAGGGAAATATCTGATACCCTCTAGTAGATCCGTGCATGCCGGTGTGATATTAATGCCGCGCATGCCTGAGTAATACAACTGGCTGTGGCCTAGTTTCTAGAGATCTTTTTTTACAACTGGTATCTAGTCAATTATTTCCATAAGCACGAAAGATCACATTGATTTTTATATGAGTCGGCCTTAACTTCACAAGCCGTTCTCAATCCGCAAGAGTGAGAATTTATTTATTTAGCGTATGGATAATTACAATACGATAAAAGTAGTATTTAGATTATAATTATGTTCAAATTGGAATTGTAACCTAAGTTAAATATTAAATATTAATGTCCAAATTGCACAGCCATTCAATTGCACCAGGAGAACACTCTGCAAAATCTTGAAGGTCTCCGCTGTATCTGCGGATTGGGCAATCCGCCATGATGTGTTGGATGGTCTGTCTCGGGGATCCACAATCACATTGTGGGCTTTCTGCATGACCCCATCGGTAAAGAGAATCGGCACATTTGCCATGACCCGTGCGTATGCGATTTAGTTTTGTCCATATAGGGCGTGGCAGGTTTGATCCAGTGAAGCCGATCGACGTACTTGTTATTTTGATGACGTCTGGCTCTGTTGTTGGCATCCATCTTTTCGTTCACTGCTCTTGCTTATTGTAGCTATCACCCATTCCCTGAACGGATTGGACAGGGGGTCGTCTGGACTTCAGTCTTTGTTGGTCTCGTGCGGCGTGCGGAATATACTGGTGAATTGGCAGACGATTATTTGCCATGATTTTCTGATATTCTCTGACAAGTGCTGCCGTTCGTCGAATATCTGGAGGTGCATATTGCTCAGAATTGGAAGCCATCTTAGTGGAGTTGATTTAATAGTACCAGATATTACTCTCATTGTGTAATTTAGTTGAACATCAATCTTGTTGACATGAGCGCTATTTAGCCGTACCGGTGCGCAGTATTCAGCGACAGAATACACAAGGGCCAGTGAGGAGGTTCGAAGTGTATCCGCAGTGGCACCCCATGTCGTTCCAGCAAGCTTTGTTATTATGTTGTTACGGGTTCTCACTTTGGCAGCTACATTCGTAAGATGGGTTTTGAACGTCAGTGATCTGTCGAGCGTTACACCCAGGTATTTAAGGTTGTTATTATGTTTCAAAGTCTCGCCATTGAAGGTGATGCTAAGGGTGTCATTCAAAAGCTGATTTGTGAGATGGAAGAGGCTTGTCTCAGTTTTGTTTGTATTAGGGCGAAGTCGCCATTGTTTAAAGTAGTCGCGGAGAACCCTTAAGTCTTCGGTAAGCGCCCTTTCTCCAACATCTTTGGCTTGGTTTTGAAATGCGATAGCCAGGTCATCTGCGTAAGCAAATTTTTTTGATTTTGTCTCTGGAAGATCGGCTGTGTAAATGTTAAATAATAGTGGAGCAAGCATTGAACCCTGTGGGAGGCCATTATTTAGCTTTCTGACATTGCTCTCTGTATCGTTTATATATACTTGAAACAGTCTGTTGGTTAGGAGGTTATTGATTAGTTGGCAGGTTTTCAGGCATGGTATGACCTTCATTAGCTTGTAGATCAGGCCTTCTCTCCACACAGTGTCATATGCAGCCGTCAGATCTATAAACGTTACGGCTGTTTTTTCCCGTTTTTCGAAACCGGCTTCAATAACTGTCGTTAAGGACAGTACTTGATCACTACAGCTACGCCCGCTTCTAAATCCGGCCTGTTCAACTGGTATCACAGTGTCGGTGATGGGGTATATCCTATTATATATAAGTCGCTCTAGTAGTTTGTAGCAGCAACTGAGGAGGGCAATGGGTCGATAGTTTTCGGGTAGTTCACCGTCCTTTCCAGGTTTTAAAATTGCAATAACTTTGGTTCTTTTGAACTCTGGAGGTAGTACAGATGTCTTCATTATGTCACTAAAAAAGTCTTTGAGCCAGTGTCGCGTTTTTGGACCACAGTGAATTAGGAACTCAGGATACATTCCATCGCAACCTGCCGCTTTGCCTTTTTTAATTTGACTGAGGCCATGGTTTATTTCGTTCAGAGAGAAGCATCTTGAAAACTTTGATGTAGGAGGAGTGTTTGTCTTAAATTCTTTTAGAGCTTTTTTTGTAGACGTCGTATGGATTTTGTCAGAGGGGGCACGCGATACTTCAACTATTCTGTTAGCTATCCTTTTCGGATCGATACTGTTCTTGTTCAAGCGTTTCTCTCTAACGGCTCCACCTAGTCTACGTAGCAATCCCCATGCCTTCCGGCTAGATCGTGAAAAATCAATATGCTCTACTGTTGTTTTCCATTTATTAAGTCGGGTTGAGTCCAGAGAAGTCAGTAGACTATCAGCAATCTCAGGATCTTCGGAATCCACAAATTCTTCATACAGTCGTTGACTTTCTTCTGTCCAGCCTGGGCGTACTCCTTTCGAAAACCACGGGGTATATGTTTTTTGGCTATGGAAAGTACTAAGCTTACAAAGCGGTGGTAGTTCTTGGCTTTCGGATCAATAAAACGGATGCAATCGTCAAGTCTTTTGGTGTATTCCGGCCAGTTTGCTTTGTTAAAGTTCCAGCGTGTTCTTGGTGTTGATTCAACGATAGGAATCTGTACTCCTATGTCGATTATGATGGGACGATGCTGGCTGTGAGGGAAGTTATGGAGCACGGTTCGGGAACTAGGTAGTGGTCGCATCTGTGAGTTGCTCGAAACCCAGCAAAGATCGGGGTTATATCCTTTGTGCCATCTTCATGAGAAGAATGTGTGCATATCTTTAGAGTGAGAATAGAAAGTTGTTAAAACCCTTCACCGACATCAGTATCAATAATTAATAATATTTAATTACATAAACATTCGTTTTTATTAATATTACAATCAAGTCGTTAGCAATACATTTCAGTTACAAAGCACATTTTTTACAATCAATTCGATACCCTCTATCAATATCGACAAAACCACACATGGCTATGCAAACTTTTAGTTCTAAAATGAAATGACAAATCTCTTACAATATATAATATTATTTTATATAAACATCATGGGTGTACAAGGTTGCTCCTATGTATTTATAATTATATGATTTAGCAAAAATCGCAGAGGAAAAACGAAAATGAGTTATAGAAAACTATTTTTCTTATTCATTTATAAACATTATCATTCATTCGTTCATATTCATTCATATCATTATCATTCATTAAACATAAAACATTTTGTATTTTCTTATTCATCAATAAAAAATTATGCATGCACTAGGTAGACCAATTCCTCGCCCTAATGGGCCGCCAAAGTCAGTATTATAACACCAATAATATTATCGTCACTATGGGAGGAGACTTCAACTACCAAGACGCGACCACTTGGTTTACCAATTTAGACAAACTGATAAGGTTCGTATTTTTTTCTTTTTGTAGGTTAATGAATTCTTTAGAGTTCTCGATAACATGACAAGCGTTTACGACACCCACAACCTAATTATAACCATGGGTGAAGACTTCAATTACCAAGACGCTGCAACTTGGTTCAAAAACTTAGATAAATTGATTTCGTAAGTAGAGAAAGATAGTGCTTTGTCTTATAGCTTCGACAGAGGCTGTCGTCGTGTTGCATGCATATGTTTTTTGTGTTTGTTTTTCATTTTTAATTCATTAATAATTAGCCTATATTCATCATAAGTGGCATGACAATCCGTTGTGGATCTTTTCCTGCTCACAAAGAAATTGCCACTCCTGTAGATTCCTGGCAACTTCTCTCCATCTTCTAACCCTTCGAATATGAAGGTCTTCTTCCACATCATCAATCCATCTCCTTCGTGGTCGTCCTCTACTTCTTGTGCCCTCTAATTTTGAAAATATTATTCTCTTCGTGTTTCGTGTTCTGACATCCTAGATGTGTCCAGCCCATCTAAGTCTCTGCACTTAGTCTATATTCCTTAGATTTATTTCTCTTAAACTAGTATATACAGTGATTTTATAATAGATTAACCCATATCGCACACTCAGTGCAAGACTGCAGTAAGTCAGAATAAGTAAGTTTCGAGATAAAGACGATTTTGTTTATTTTCGTGCTAATATCGGTGAAATAAGACACAAGGTTTCAGAAAAATTAACATTTAATTACGATTTTGCATGCATTTCAGTCTATATTACATTAACCAAAAATTGAAATTTTAATAAAATAATATTATTGCTAAAAAAATTAATTAGGAATTTCAAAGTTACAACACTTTTGCACAGAGAAAATTGTAAAAAGTGTAGACACATTTTCTGTTAGTTGTTGTCTTCTTCTCGTATATCATCTTGGGCCATAATATTTTTACAAAAACTATGGTGAGCTTCTGGTATCATACCTGAATGGCATAAGTATACCAAATCTTTCTTTTTGGCCATTTGAATTTAATTTGAACAGTAATCGGAAATTAGTATGGTATTAAACTTTACATCTAATAGATTCCAAGAAATCAGATAGCTACCTAGTATAAATAGGTACCTAATAAAACGGCTCATCGCTAGCAGCAATTTAATCTTTTTATCTCTGATGTTTCTGATAGCCACAATTCGGTAGAAAAATTATTTGTAAAACTTTTAATATTTTTATTTAAATTAAAAATAACAGGACAATCGCCCCAGAAGGTTACATGAAGATTTAATACAATTTGGGATTTAGTTTTTATTGAACAAGTTTTCTAAGAATAGATATTTTTAACCTGTCAGTATTACACAAGATAACTGTTATACCTTTCATAAGAAAAAATACTTTTTGGCTGTAATTAGTCTTAATTTATATGTTTTTAACGCAATTTAATAAATAAATAGTCAAACGACATAGCACACATTTTATGGAAAATATAATGTCACACAAAGCACATAAAACTTACATGAATAGATTGGTCTCCTAAACATTTGTTTATTGTCTCGGCTGTTAATGGATTACGTAGATACGCTGTATATTAAAATTAAACACCACAGATATAGATATTAAAATAACAAATATTTTGCTTCTTTCATGCCTTTCATTGCTTGTTGAAATCATTGCAATGTTCCGTGCAAAACTGTTGTAACTCTGTTACATGAGAATTACAACAGTTTTGCACGGAACTTATGTACAAAAACGCAAGATAGTTAAACTGTTCTTGTTGTAATATTTAGCCGGTTAAGCATTTGAAAGTTACTAAAGTTTTATAAGGGATAGATATGCATGTTTACATTCGAATTCCATGATTACTTCATTTTTATAAAATTTTGAGTTACTGCAGTCTTGCACTAAGGGTGCGATATGTTCTTATTATGTTTTCCATGTTTTCCATTGAAAAAAAATGTTCATAGTAGATTTCTTTGTTTCAATATTTTTTTTCTTCAAGCTCTAAGGTCCCCTAAATCATTGACAATAACTGCATGATCTTCATTTTATAAACTTGCACGAAATAATGGCCTTATACAAACTTATTATTCTTGACTTAAAGAACTGCTCTTAATAAACTGCTTTAGAAATGATGGTTTTCATTTACCTTGACCAAGTTTATCTTTTCCATCATTATTAACTGATTATAGTCAGCATTAACCCATCGATAACTCCAGTTTAAGTTAATGCCTTCATTTTCTAAAAGAGAAGCAAACATGTAGTAAGTGTACAAATATAGTTATTTACTACAAAGTTCAGATAATGGTTATGTTTTGTTGCATGTATGTGTTTTTTTTTGTTTTTATGTTCTTTTGTTATTTTAACAAATTGGTAAATAATAAACGAATAATAATTGTCATCCTTAACTTCTACAGACATAAATGTACCATAGTGGGAGTTGATAAACGACTTAAACGCAAGGAAGAACTTGCAACCATAGGAAACTATGGTTGAATTCTTGTAGATGAATCGTCGAAGATGTATCTAATAAAAGTGAAAAAAGATAAATATACGCTTGTTCAATTGAAGGGCTTAATGCAATAACCGTCCACGTGCGCATTCCATAGTTTTGAGAAAAATGAGAAAAACGTGTCATTTAGTCATAGTTGAAATTATATCAACTTTTTTATTTTACTTTTGTAATATAATCAAAAACTCACCTTTTCTAACAATACAGTATACTCCCTCTATAACGAACACGGTTATTACGAGGGTTCGCTTATAACGAGGTACATTAGATGTCCAAATGACAAATTTCTATTGAACTATAACCCTCTATAGCGAGGTAAATTTGGTTATAGAAAATAAGATCGAAAAACGTGCTTTTTTACGTTTTTGGCCCGGCCAAAATTCTTCTTCAAAAAACTTCTGTTTAATCTACCACCGATATTGTGTTGTCGGAAATTTACAATTTATGATTCACAAGTGTGAATTTAGGGGTCTGATCATTCGCATCTAATAAACGACCTAAAAAGGCTTAAAACATGACAAATGAAACAAATTTCACCAGAATTTCATTTCACAGTTGTTTTTGTGTAGATGTTTATCGTTTGTTTTCTGATTGTGCTTTCGCGTCTTGAAAGTTATGTTGTAGATTACATAGTCACATAGATTACACACTATGACTCCTAAAAGAAAAGCATTTACTACAGAAAAAAAATTCAAACATCCTTAAAGATGTTGAGAATGGCAAGAAGAAAGCAAGTTTGTCGTGAAAGAGGAATTTCAAGTTCCACTTTATCTACCATGATCAAGAATAAAAACAAGATTTTCGAAGCAGGTTCGTCTTTTAAAGGTTAATCGAAAAAAAAACTAATTGCCGTAACTAATAAAGGACTCGATACTGCAATGGTCAAATGGTTTATCGTAAACAGGGCTGCTAATGTTCCAATAAGTGGACCACTGCTTCAAGAAAAAAGTAAAACAGTTTTAACATCAAAAGATTCTTTGAATTGTTGACAATTGTAGAGCCCATCCGAAAGTTAACGGTTTAAAAAACATTTAACTTCTTTTTTACCTCCAAATTGCACATCTGTTCTGCAACCGATGGATCCTATAATCTTATTTTGGATTCTATATTTGTTTGGACCGAGTAAAACAGTATAACTATCTTGGAACAACAGTAAATGAACAATGGGATCACTCACAGGAAATAAAATGTAGAATAGAGAAGGCTAGGAGTGCATTCAATAACATGGCCAAACTCTTAATCTGGAGATAAAAGTAAGGCTCCTACGATGTTATATCTTCTCAATATTGTATTACGGAGTTGAATCCTGGACACTAACTGAAGCAATGGAGAAAAAACTTGAAGCCTTCGAGATGTGGCTATACAGGCGAATTCTAAGGATATCATGGACAGACAAGATAACCAACGAGACCGTATTACGAAGAGTGGGCAAAGAAAGAGAGGTGATGTATACCATTAAAAGGAGAAAGTTGGAATATCTCGGACATATAATGAGAAACAGCACTAAATACAGATTACTGAAGGTAATCCTACAGGGTAAAGTATTCGGAAAGCGAGGAATTGGGAGAAGGAGAATATCATGGTTGAAGAACCTGAGGAAATGGTTCTCCACAACAACAACGAATCTATTTAAAGCATCAGTCAATAAAATAATTATAGCCAGAATGATTGCCAATATTCGGAACGAATAGGCACTGAAAGAAGAAGAAGAAGAAGATATTTGTTTGGCCTATATAGAATCGGAGGCAGCCTGTGCAAGAAATTTTATTAACTCCGTGTTATTTATTCATTTGGAATGTTGTCTTTGATTGATCGGACAAGAGATGAAAGTTTTTGTTGGGGGGTAAATATTGTCTTCATTTCTCTGGATTTAAGAATTTTGTGGATTTTGTCAGTGACACTTTTGATGTAAGCAAGAAAAGCTTGCGTATGATGAGGGTCTGAGTCTTTGGGTTGAGATTGAGTGAGAAATTAATGTCTGTGGATGCTAATATTGATGTGATAATGACTGAAATAATTTGTGAAGACAAATGATAAGAGTTGGCATGCAGGTAACGATTGTTATGGGTGGGTTTTCGATAAACAGAGTGGTGAAAACCTTGGGATTGGTTTTTCTTTATAATAACGTCGAGAAACGGTAGGGATAAATCAGTTTCCACCTCCATCGTGACCTGGATACTAGGATGTATACCATTCAGATGCGTTTGAAAAGACACCAAAGCATCCCTGCTATGGGGCCAAATGACGAATGTATCATCAACAATGTGAAGACAAATGATAAGAGTTGGCATGCAAGTAACGATTGTTATGGGTGGGTTTTCGATAAACACAGTGATGAAAACGTTGTGATTGGTTTTTCTTTATAATAACGTCGAGAAACGGTAGAGATAAATCAGTTTCCACCTCCATCGTGACCTGGATACTAGGATGTATACCATTCAGATGCGTTTGAAAAGACACCAAAGCATCCCTGCTATGGGGCCAAATGACGAATGTATCGTCAACATATAGTAGCCAACATGTAGGTTAGAGCATTGATGTGGATAGTGCTCAGGTCTCGAAGTCTTCCATAAAGATATTGGCAATTACTGGAGACAGTGGGGTGCTCATTTGGGTACTATTTATTTATATGTAGAATTAATTTTGGAAGGTTAGACAAACAATGTTTAATGAGAGAAGAAGTGGTCTTGCTGGGTACTGTATTTAGTTTTCAGAATGTTTAAAGTTTCGTCTATAGGAATTTTTTACAGAGTAAAGCGATATCGAAACTTACTAGAATGACTGACGGTGCGACGGGGTTTAAAAAATTCAATCAAATGAAATAATATTTGACGAAGGATGAAGCATTTTCAGCGAGAGGTTGTAGAGTTTTGGCCAAGTACTTGGCCAATGGTTATGTATGGCAGTTGTATGCACGGACAATGGGACGTAGAGGAATATCGGGTTTGCGAGTTTTGGGTCTACAAAACGCTACGTCTTCTCTGTCCTTTTTTATGGTTTTGAATCGTGGACCTTGAACGAAGATATGTGCAAAAAACTGGAAGCATTTGAGATGTGGCTATATTGGAGAATACTTAAGATCCCGTTGACTGACCGAGTCACAAATGAGGAGGTCCTCAGAAGAATTAATAAGAACCGAGAGGTACTGACCACTATTAAATCTGGAAAGTTACAATTCTTCGGATATATTGTGCGAGGTGAATCCAGATATGCTCTCCTTCAAGCCATCCTGCAAGGAAAAATATTTGGAAAGCGAGGTCCAGGAAGAAGAAGAACCTCTTGGTTAAAGAACCTCAGAATCTGGTTCATAAGATGAAGATTGCCTTGATGGTCGTCAACATTTGTATCGGATAGGCACATCAAGAAGAAGAAGATGTATATACGTATACGTATTATTGCAGCTGTTTACTACGTCGAATATTGTTCATTATTTTATTCTCCTTAATATTTCAGCTACGCAAATGCCCGTCAATCTAATGGCTCCAGATATAATCTTATTTACTCTACACCATCTTGTTATGTCAAAGCCATATATGATGAAACTAAAGGAAAGAAGAAATGGTTGGTTAAGCAAGACGATTTCTTCCCTTATGCGTCCGATCCACACGCTTTTTGGACCGGTTACTTTACTTCCAGGCCCACGCTCAAAAGGTTTGAGAGAGAAGGAAACAATTTCTTACAGGTAAGATGAAATGTCAAAAAGTTATTATTAATAAATAATATGTCATTGTATTTTATGGGTACTGTAAATAATTGATAATAAATAAGTATGAATTTCGGACTATAAGTCATATAAATTATTGCCATCTACTTGTCTACCTACAATCACAAATTTGGTCTTCTCGATTGGTGATTTGTGTTCCTGGAGAAATTTACATGATATATTTGTTCTAGTTCCTATTCATGATCATTTATTTTACCTTTTTCCTCTACTGGGTCGATTTTCATAAACCCCATTTTGAAGTGCTTGTTGGAAAGACAGTCTTTAAATGTAGCTATTAAATTTAAAGATAAATACGCGTCCCTAGCTGCACCCTCAAATAATTTTAATATTGCCAAAACGTCTCGGTGATTAGAGATCCTATCAAGAAGTTATTCCCAGATTCCCAGTTAAGAATTATGGGAAGTGACAAACAAAAATGTAAGCTAAATTTCACCACATAAATGGAAGTTTCTTGAATAAAGGAAAGAACATTTTTCACCGTTTCCCTGGGAAAACTTTGGCATGGATATCCAATACATCAGTACCATTTGAGGTTATTTTATGCATGGTTACATATTAAACAATATACTGCAGATTACAAACAAATTGAAAATAACAGATCTAGTTTTAAAAATTACTAGAGGAAACTTAAAAAGAAGTTGTCAAAGTTCATTAACTAGAAAAAATAATTTTATTATAATTTTAACCTGAACATTATCATAGTTACTAACGTCTTAGCAGATGTATTGTGGTTTGTCATTGAGCTTCACCAGCGCGAATAGTTTGATTAATAATATTTTTCCCACTGGTCGCTATCATATGTTACATGTACTACCTCAGTATTCTGTTTATTGAGAAGCTTTTTGTAATATCTGCTTATCGCTGTGGAGATCTGCTGCCTTGGCGTTGACTCGGAGGCCTCTCTTGAGCCACTTACCGCTTCAATTTGTGATTACTTCGATTTCTTCTTCTTAGAGTGTCTTCTCCCTACGGAGGTTGCAATCATAATGACTATTTTTATTTTTGAACTTGCTGCTTAAATCAATCGATCTGCATTGATGCCAATCACGTATATTCTTCAACCATGAGTTCAGCCTTCTGCCAACAGGTCTTCTTCCTTGAATCTTGCCCTGTATTATGAGTCTCAAAATTTAATATTTTGGTCCCCTTATCACGTGGCCTAGGTATTCCAGTTTTCTGGTTTGTATAGTGGTGATTAGTTCTGTTTCTTTACCAACGCTCCCCAGTAATTCTTTATTTGTAATTCTATCTGTCCATGATATTTTTAATACTCTGCGGTATAACCAGCAGACGAAAAAATGCAGACGAAAGACCAGAAATAGCAGTGGCAGAACCTACAGACGACACAACAGGCCTGAAATTATAAAAAGCGAGGTAGAATATGCTATAAGAAACGCAAATGGGGGTAAAGCTGCAGGACCAGATGAAATTCCTGTAGAATTTTTGAAACTTATAGACGACGACGCAGTTGAAATAATGGTGAACCTTTTTAACACAATGTATAGAACAGGCATCATACCAAAGAAATGGCTCTCCTCTACTTTTGTCACAATCCCGAAAACGACTAACGCCAGAGAATGTTCAGAATACAGAACTATAGCATTGATGAGCCACACACTAAAAGTATTTTTAAAAATAATTCACAAAAGAATATTTAATAAATTAGAAGAGGACATAAGCGCCACACAGTTTGGATTCAGAGGTGGACTGGGAACACGGTAAGCTTTGTTTGGTCTGAGTGTGTTAATGCAAAGATGTTTGGATGTAAACCAAGACCTCTACGTAGGTTTCATAGATTTTGAGAAGGCCTTCGATAAAGTCAGACACCAAAAGCTGTATGAAATCCTAAGCAAAAACATCGACAGTCGCGACATTAACATCATATCCAGATTGTACTGGGGACAAACAGCAAAAATCAAAGTTGATAATGAGTTAACCGAAGCAACTGAGATTCGTCAAGGTGTGCGTCAGGGTTGTGTGCTTTCACCACTATTATTCAATATATATAGCGAAACAATATCAAGAAGCACTCCTAGAGAAAAACATTGGTATGAACATTAACGGAGAGTTAATTAACAATATACGATACGCTAATGACACGCTAATAGTAACAGATAACCTAGCAAATTTACAGTTTTTGATGGAATACATAAACACTCATACCAATAAGTATGGTCTAAAACTGAACATCAAAAAGACTAAATTCATGATTGTAACAAAGAAGCTATACACCAATGTGAATTTAACCATAAATAATCAGCCAGTTGAAAGAGTAACGTCCTACAAATATTTAGGGGTTTGCTTCACTGATACTAATGACCAGACAAGAGAAATCAAGAGGCGAATAGGGATAGCGAGACAATCGTTTGTCAAAATGAAAAAGTTCCTATGCAGCCGGGACATAAATATAAACTTAAGAACAATAATGTTAAGGTGCTATGTTTTCTCCGTTCTGCTGTACGGCATGGAAGCCTGGACACTGAAAAAGATAAACATCAAAAACATTGAGGCATTCGAAATGTGGTGTTACAGGAGAATGTGGAAAATATCATGGACAGAAAGAGTAACAAATCAAGATGTTCTGCTGAAGATGGGGAAGGAATGCGAAGTCATAAAAACCATACAAACGAAAAAACTGGAATATCTGGGCCACATAATGAGAGGAGAAAAGTACTCTCATTGTAAGTAAATGTTTAATTACAATCAAGTTTTGATTAGCGTTTGAAGAATCGGCCCTTAGAATTTGAGATGCCTCTGTTGCTGACGTAGTTGACTGTGTCCGCCGGTATGTGCCACATGCGCAATATCTTGTCTCTGTGTTTATATATTGTAGAGGCTGATGGGGTTTAATTTGGGTATTTTACTAATTATTCTAAACGAATTTTAACATATACACTATTCATTTTCAGGTATGCAAACAGCTTTATGCTTTAGCTGATTTAGATCCAATCGACAAAGTTGACCTCAATGCTCTTCGTGAAGCTATGGGAGTAATGCAACATCATGATGCAATCACAGGAACTGAAAAGCAACATGTTGCCAACGATTATGCCAGAATACTGTCCAACGGAATCAAGGAGTGTGAATGGATAACTGCAACAGCGCTAAGGTATATTGAAACCATATCAATTATTTATTAATTACTTCCAATATAATCAAGAGATGATAAGAAATAATGTTTAAAATACTATAATTTTAGTGAAATTCCTGCTATTTGCATTTTTATTTTTAAAACTATTCTTTAAAAAGCTGTTCAATTAAACTAATCAATAATTTTACTATATTTCCCAGTACTAAATTCTAGTGTTATCCTAAAATTAATTCTATTTTACCCTTTCCTACTAGTCCAGGATCCCAGGACCATTTTTACCATTTATTGCAAGCTAATTTGACAAATAACACCAAAAAATGTGTCAAGATTTTATCAAAGAGTACCCCTAGTACCTCGCCAACCTAACTGTTAGTTCCAGTTTTAAATCCCTGGTACATAGAACTCTTCTCATTTTGTTGAAATTTGCTCTAGCCTTTTCTATTCTTATTTTGATTTCCTGATTGTAATCATTTGTGGAGTTAATCATTGTTCCCAGATATGCATATTTGTCCATTTGTTCGACGTTAGTTCCGTTTATTAGAAGATTCTCGATATTTCTTTGAGTTTTAAAGATATTCTCATAAACTTCGTCTTCTTGACATTTATTGTTAGACCATACTCTTTTCCATACTCTGCTATTCTGGTCACCAGAATACCCTCTGAAGATCTTCAATGTTTTCGGCTAAGATCACAATGTCGTCCGCATATCTAATGTTGTTAATGGGAACTCCATTTACCTTTATTCCAGCTGTTTCACCCACGTTTAAAAGTTGTTAATTCCACAAGACAATTTTTTGTATAGTAACTATGATAGGTAAGTGTATATTTCATCCAAATAAAACAATATCCTACAACAAGAATGAGCAACATTCGTCCCGTTGGATATGTTTATGCGGCCTGCCAAGCATTTATAAAATTGAATTTATTTTTTCGTTTTTTTTAATTTTTTTAACTGTTGGACCTTGTGTCCTGTTGTGTTAATGTATAATTTTTAATGTTTATGACATTCTCCATATATTGTTGGATAGCCCAAATTTGACGAAACGCTTCTGAAGATGCTCTAGAAGCAAAAGTACTTGGGCAAGATTTAATAAATAAACTGTGCTTGAAATTCATTTGTTCGAACATTCAACCTTACATAAATTAAATTAACCCTTTCCTTACCGGTCGTTAAGACCTAGGTAGTACTACCAGATCCAGATTTTTTTAAAGTCATGAGCCCCAGTACCATATATATACGGCATTCTAGAAAATAGATCAAGAGTTGTTTTATGAGGAGATAATAAATACTATTGATATAAAGTAAATGATTCACCTTGTATATTTTATTATAAGAATATACGTTGGCAAAAAATAAGTTTAAACAAATAACTAGGATTGCGTACATATAAGTCAAAAGTTTTTAATACATTTTTTTCGTGTGATATTCTCCGAACCAAGGAAAAACACATAGACCCACGTCGCATTCATTGCACATATATCTTGAATCTCGCCTCTTTTTTGGTCACAAATTTTATAATGTGAACAAACAATGCATCTTCGAACTTTTTTATTTGGTACCATAGCCGGAAAATCTCACCCCGTCAGACGCTGATGTTTTGATGTATTCAACGTCCTGGGTATGCTTTTTGGTACATTATAAATGTAACAAAAGATTTTGTTACAGTTACTGTAACTCTTTACTTACTATCACCTCAAAATGAAGCTACTCACGAAAAATTAGCTTGTTAATAATAAATGGTAAAAATGGGCCTGTGATCCTGGACAATACCACTTTATACTATATTATCCACTGTAACCTTGATTGCCGTTGATTTATTCTTGATTAATTTCTTAGTTAATACAGAATATTTTATTGTAGCAATAAATGAGCTCAAATCAAACCTATTTTTTTTTTAGCAAAATAGTTGCCCCAAAGATGAGAAGTTATTTTCTAGATGAACCCGTGCCTACTATACCATTTACGACGTGTCCCTTGGCAAATATTAGTCAATGTGCATTTACGGAAACCAACAATAATTTTGTCATAACAGTATACAACCCACTAAGCAGATCTGTATCTAAGCATGTGCGAGTTCCAGTAGAAGGAAATAAATATACTGTCAAGGATCCTCAAGGTTTGGAATTATTTTTTTAATTGATAACCACCCAATAAGATCTTTATAAACATTAAAATCTAGTCAAACAATATGAAAATCAATTAATAATTTTTTTTTCTAATCTAACTTACTAAAACTTAAAAAAAAAAGATAAACTCACTAGTACCTATATCTATCTATCTCTATCATTAAAATTAAATCAAATTAAATCGGATTTAAAGCTTGAAGGTGTTCTTCCTATTGAATCTGGACGTGTTGAAGTTCATAACTATTGATAAATTTTTCTTGGTCTTAGGAATTGTATCCATTTTTAGACCCCATGGATACAGTTCCTAAGATCACAGAAAAAATATCTTCATAGGGGTCACTGATGAATCTGGTTCTGGAACTCGTACCAGTTACATGTGTGTAAATTTGCGCCGAGATTTGTCTCAAATTTTGGGTGGTTTCAAGTATAATTTTTCATACAATAAATAGTGCAAAGTGTAGTTAACCAGGATTTTTATGGAGTAAGTGGGTTATATTTTTTTCATTATTTTATCAGTAGGTAAATTAAAAATTTAGTGTATTTAATTACATTTTTGCGTTGAACGGGTGATAAGAGCGATAAATAATCGTCAACAAAATGAACAGGTCTATTATTCGATAGATTTCCACACAGTTATAAAGATTTTTATTTATTAATAAAATTTGAAGGTACAGTGGCGGAGCAAATAAGAAAATAGGTGGAGTTAGATCGTTAGTTAGAAATTAACGAAGAGGTACCGAGTAAGATCAGCCCCAAAAACGAGTATACGCTTAAAATGATTAGTGAACTTTTGGCGAAGAATAACGATATGATGGCCGAAATGTGAAAATTGAGTACAGAAAAAAAACACTGGATTGTATTAGAGAATTGAAACAGAAAAATTTAGAACTAGAGAAAGAAATTAATGAGGCAAATAAGAGAATCAAATAGTTGGAGAAAGACAAAAGAACGAGAAATATAGTTATTATAGGCTTAGATTTGAAAACTAATGATGTGAAAGATACTAAAGATAAACTGGAGCTATTTATGAGCTTATTTATCTCAACATTAAATTGAAAGAAGATAGCAAAATAGGCGATAAAATGTTTCTCGCTGAAATAAAAAACATGACGGACAAAGTGAGTGTGCTAAAAATATAGTAGAACACAGCATATATATATATATATATATATATATATATATATAGAAAAGAAATTTAATCTTTGCAGATAAGTTAAATAGTAAACTCTTAAATATTGGAGAAATCTGCAAGAAAAACTCTAATGTGTATCAATTGTTTCGCCGAATGTTTTCGCCAAAGAGAATTAATTTGGCTTCTTCAGGGCTGAAAGAGAATAAATTATAATTAGCTACCATATATTATGTAATAAGAAACATTTACCATACCGTAAATTTTAGAAATGTCGAGTTAGGATGGTCAAAAACCTAGCTAGTAACAACATAGTGGTGATTTTTTGTTACTATGTGCAAAAAAATTTTTTTTGGTTGACGTTGGAAATGTATGGTAGCTTTGAACTTAAAACGCAAAGGTTTACCCAAGGTTAATCGAAAAACCCAATGTAACTACATTTAAAGGAAGTAATTCTTTGAATTGTCGGCAACAACTAAATTTTTGATTGTTATAAAGTTTGAATGTGAGGTTCTGTTTTCATAGAACGCAAGAGCTGACAATTACAAGTAGGTCTTTGAATATTTATGTCGTTAAGGTTCATTGGTAAAACCGATGAAGTTAGATCCCAATCTGGGGAGATATTAGTTTAGAATTTTCTTAATTGAAATTCTTTTTTAATTTGTATATTGTTCATGTATTATTATAATAATATCTTATTGATATGTATCTAAGAAAAGCAAGGGAATGTTATCTTTTTTAGTTAATGAAAATTATTATTAAAGTAGGTTAGTTGTTAATAGATATATCAGTCAAGTTTGTTATCTGTGATGTTGTATTGTTCTTGGTATCTGATTTAAGTAAGAAGTGGTATATATCGCTTAGATTCTTAATGTCACTCTTAACATTAATGAAAAAATCGTTAAGGAAAATATAAGACATTTCAATGAACTCTCTTTTAGATTTATTGTTCTCACGGTGGAGAATTGTAGTGTTCGTATAGCCCATGTGGTGACCAGTAGAATGGACATGTTTGGCTAATGTACAGCGGTCAGGGTGAAGTCGAGAATCACTTTTGTGTAGTGTAGTACGTGATTTCAATAATTGAGATGTTTGGCTGATGTAGGAATTGCTGCAAGAGAGGCATGGAATGTTGTAGATAATATTACTAAGCCTATCTATGGGAGTCTTATCTTTTATCTTCGTATAAAGATTATTAATTGTTAGGGCTGATCTACAAGCCACATTAAGTTTAATGTTATTATTATTATTCCCAAAGCTATTTTTAACACTTTTTAGAATCCTTGTTAACCCCGGAGTGATATCTCTGAAATAGGGTAATGAAAAATATTTATTGATAGGAGTATCCGAGACTGGATTCCCACTTAAGACATCAGGATCAGCATTGTTAGTCACGATGGAAGGTGAAGTCTCTTCGTTATGGATAGTGTTAATAAACAAAATCTTATTTACTAATGGTGTTGGATAAGAGTTTGAAATAAAAAGTTTCTGAAGGACCCAGAATGGGTCGGTTTTTGATACCAATCTATTTTAATGTTGTTGTTTTCCCTAATCAACCTTATGTCGAGAAAGGGGACGTAACAATTAAGATCTTCCCTCTCTATAGTGAACTGGATGTAGGGGTCATAACTATTAAAGGTGTCTAATAGTTCATCTACCTTGTCATTGGGTATGACCCAATAGCAACGGTCAGGGTGAAGTCGAGAATCACTTTTGTGTAGTGTGATACGTGATTTCAATAATTGAGAGGTTTGGCCGATGTATAAATTGTTGCAAGAGAGGCATGAAATGTTGTAGACAATGTTACTAAGCATATCTATAGGAGTCTTATATTTGATCTTAGAATAAAGATTATTAATTGTTAGGGCTCATCTACAAGCCACATTAAGTTTAATGTTATTATTCTTACCCAAGCTATTTTCAACACTTTTCAGAATCCTTGTTAACCCCGAGTGATATCTCTGATATATCACATATATACCATACTTATATATACTGATATATCGTACTTCAGAGATATCACTCCTGGGTTAACAAGAATTCTGAAAAGTGTTTCATTAAAAATAAACATGTTGTACTATGCTTGACTTGCGTGAATCATCCTGTACATTTAAATTTAAAAGTTAAAATTTTTCCTAGCTTTTTTTATAATTTTTTAAAATAGGGACACAAATAATAATTTTATTCCATAAGTGGTTTCTCCTCTGTATAATTTCAAAATTTCATCTTATAATATTCATAATAGATCCTATATTATATATTTTATGGAGATCAGTTTATTAAGGAGCTTTTAAAAATATATAGGGTGTTCTATTAAAAATAAACTTTATTGACTATGCTAGGTTTGAATGAGTCACCATAAATAGGTACATTTAAATTTGTTTAAATAGTAAAAAGCGACGAGTTTCAGAGTTTTTTATAATTTTTTTAAACATAGAACGAAATAATTTTAATCCATAAGCGGTTTCCACTCTATATAATAATTATGTTTCAGGAGCCACTGTAGTTAACCAAATAGTTCCTGTTCCTGCCTCATTACTTAAGATTCCAGGCAGAAAAAGTCTGGCAGAAAACGAATTGGTTTTTAAAGCTGCTGATATTCCTGCTCTTGGTTTTAAATCATATTTTATACAGAAATATGAAAGTAATGATATTCCAAAGGGAATACCCAAAGGACGTTCTATTGATGACTCACCAGTAAGTAATATATACCAATCAAAACAATTAAACAAAAAATAATCAGTAAAAACGTTTTATAGTTCTACTTTGCCATCCTCAGATACAGTTCCTCAAATTTTTTATAACTTTCCCATTGATCCTCAGCATTCCTACTTTACTAAATGCCATCTTTCTCGATCAATTATTATTATATTCACGGAAAGTAAGTCATACGAGTGTCATGGTATTTTCTAAACTAAGAAGAATTAGAACTTTTTTGTACTATGATGAAAAGGTTGCCAATATGAGTCATAATACTAATGTATAGAAAAGAAGTCAATCTTCACAATCTTAGGTAAGTTTTTGTTGAAATAGAATTTCTAGACTACCTGTTTCGAGGCTCACAATATGTGCCTCATCGCCAGGTCACAGTGCAGTCAAACAAAGACCTATGTACGGTGGCCTGATGATAAGGCACATGTTGTAAGCCTCGAAACCGGTAGCCTAGAAATTTTATTTTAATAAAAACTTACCTAAGATTGACTTCTTTCCTTATACGTAAATAAGCATAGAAATGGCCTTGATAAGGACCTCATAAGTAAGCATAAAAAACGGTCTTAATAAAGATCATTTTAGTTTTATTTGCATCTGTGTTCTTGCACTGGTGTCGACCGGCATTCCTTGTTCCCAGGAGACGCCCGATTGTTTTCACAAGTTACTGCATATACGTGGAGGATTCCTTCGTGTTCCTTTCACTATTAACTTGTAACGCACATAATCATCATCACCTTAATCTAAACTTCAACCGATCCGTAACTCGCTAATTGTCAGCGAAGTGGAAATGGTTTAATCTGTCATCATCGATGTTAATTCCTATGTTCTCCCACTCAAGTTTGTCAAACATATATGTTTGACATACCTTGTGTACTATGTTTGACAATCACCTTGTCTTAGTGTGTGTTTTTCTTTTTAAATTTGATATATTAGTATACAATTTTACACTTGCTATTAAGGCTATACTAGTACAGCAATCATTTTGTCTTGGTTTACTGAGTCAATCAGTTCCTTGTAATCTACAAATAATAGGATCAATTTTTGCTATATCTTACTGTTTTTTTCTCTGTAAGCATCTTTAGAACCAAGTGACAACTGTAAGTACCTAACTGGTTGTTGTTCTGCTTCAAATGTTATATTCTCACACTAAGTTTATAACCATTAAACATTATATTGATCATATTCTCAGATTTCGTTAAATCTTCTAATACTGGATCCATGTCTCTCGCCCACGATAAACAAAAATATTTAGGTTATATTTCTATAATGAGAAGAAAAAAGAAAAATAAAAAAGAAGGAAGAGGGAGTAGCGGAGATGAAGGAGCAAGTAGAAGACGAGAAGTGAAAGAGAAGGATGAAACTCAAGGAAAGAAAAGCTGGAGAAAAGAAGTGGAAGAAATTGTAGATAAAAAAAGAGTAAGCAGAAATAGCGGGAAGGGTAGGGAAGAAAGGGAGAACCAGCAAACCAATAGAGAGGAAGAAATAAAAGGAGGAGAAAGAGAGAAAGAAGAAGGAGAAAAGAGGCAAAAGGAAGGAAAAAATATAATAAGGGAGGAGATTCTAAGGAAAGAAAACGAAAGAAAGGAAGACGAAGAAGCAAGCAGCTCGGACAACAGAAGCAGCTTTGATGACGAATGGAAAAAAAGAAGGTCAAGAAAAAGAAAACCAAACATTAGGACAGAAACGTCCGATTCGGAGGAAGAGAGGCAGCCACTGAACTACAAAACTAGATCAAAGTTGGAACGTCTCCAGGACAGCGTAGCGGAACTCGAGAAACTTATGAGAAAGGTGCCAAATACAAGGCTATCCATAAAGAGGGAGGTCGACATCCTGAGAAATCGGATGCTCGATTATATCGAGGAAGTGGAGGAAAATAAAGAAGAAGAGGCTCCAAGGAAGTCTGTGTGCATGACATCTACAGGTGTGCAGATCAACATGGAACCCTTAAAAGTTAAGAAGTTGGCGACAATGGGGGTTCAAGTGGACCTAGAAAATCCTGAGGCCATTAAACGAAGGGTAGACGCTATCACGAACAAGATGACAACATGTAAGGAAGAGAAGGAAACGATAGAGTTTTTAAATGAAGACTGGCCAGAGGAGGTCTTCGCTAGGACTATAGTGAAAGAAGGAGACATCTCAGAAATAACAGGAGATGTGGCAGTCTTTGTCACCAACAATGACGAGGACAACAAAGCTATGGAAAAGACCAAAGCTATATTTCCGCAGCTACCAGGTGCTCCAGCGGAAGTGGACGAGGAGGGCGGCCTGGGAACTATGAGAGTCACGATGTCTGCTCATAAAGATGGAACGTGGATCCACAAGGAGAAGTATGGATTTAAACTTCTTCCAAACAAAAAGGAAGAACCTATACCGGTGAAGTTCCTGAAAACATGCAGGAAACTGGTACAGAAGATGGAGGAGCTGGGAAGAGAAAACTTGGGAATCTACACACCGGCAGCACTGGGAGTTGAGACATCGAGAAAAATTATTGAGTGGGCTGCAAGAGGAAGAGATGTAACGATCACGCTCCTAGGTAAAAAAACAACAAGAAAGTGGACCAACATCAACACCAAGTCCAAAGAACAAAATGGAGTCGTAATCATCAATAAATCCAAAGAAAAATCGTTTGTGGATCTAATGACAGAAGTAAAAAACAAACTAACAGGAAGAAAGGACATTGACATTAAAAGGATCAGACAAACTAGAGACCAAGGAATATCACTGGAGTTGGTCGGAGGACGGGAAATGGCGGAGGAAGTGAAGAAACTCCTCTCTGATAATACATGCGTATCGAGAGCAGTTGCAAAAGGAGGCATCGTGAAGAGTAGAATCTTGGTACAGGAAATCCCTCCTAATACAACGAAGGAAGAGATCCAAAAGGCCACTGAGGAAGCAGCTGGCAAAGAGCGGGCCTGTGACATTATAAAAATTTGGACTGAGACACGAGGCGCAGTAAGAGGGATGATGAGTGCCGTGATCGATGTGGATGAAGACGCTGCCGAAAAGATCTTGAAAATGAAAAGAATAAAAGTAGACTACACATCCTGCCGAGTGATAAAATCAAGGGTAGAAATACCGAGATGCCTGAGATGTCTTGCCTTTGGACACAAACAATGGCAATGCAAGGGGCAGAACAGAAGAGGATGTTGCTTCCGATGTGGCAAAGAGGGTCACATAGCGCTGGATTGCAAGGAAGAAACAACCAGATGCCTCAACTGTGACGTGAATGGACATGTGGCGAATTCAAGAATATGTCCAAAGTTCAACCGACTGGTTGAAAATAGGAACCACTAAGGACTAATCCCAAGAAGAGTACGAGAGTGTAAAAGAGAGCGCGAAAGAAGTCGAAGGTTTAGAAATGGCAAATAAAGAAAACAAGACTCTAGAGCTGAGGGTGCTCCAAACTAATGTTGGAACGGCAAGATTAGCACACGATCTTGCTGAGGCTGCCGCGGTAGAAAAGAACATCGATGTACTGGTGACGGCAGAACCAAATCCAACAGCAGTGAAGAGAAGAGGATGGTTTGTAGATACGACCGGGAGGGCTGCTGTACGAATCTACAATAGGAAGCTGCGAGTGTATGAAATTAAGCCGAAAGAAGGATATGTGATTGTTCAGATGGAGGGGGTGCGGCTGGTCTGCTGTTATATTTCTCCAAACGTGACGGTGGGTGAGTACGAGATGAAGATAGATGAGATCATGCAGGAAGCGGTAAACACAGGAGGAGAATACGTAGTGCTGGGAGATTTTAACGCAAAAGCAGCGGAGTGGGGATCTCCCATCACCGATACTCGCGGCAGGATACTAACTGACTGGGTGGGTACTCTAGACCTAGTGGTTCTGAACACAGGTCTGGAACCTACGTTTGTTAGGAGAGGTACAGGTACATACATCGACGTGACCATGGCGACACAAGGAATAGCGGCGAAAGCAAGAGGCTGGAAGGTTTTGCCAGACTACACCGGAACTGAACATCAATACATCGAGTTCTCGATAACTGGAACGGGGACCACTAACACGGTCCGTGCATCCGGGACGTCTGGGGGCAGATGCGGCGATGTGAATGACTGGAAAGTATACGAGGAGCTAATTAAATGGAGAGTAAGCATAATGGAGGGTCAATCACCGACGGTGGAAAGCCTGGAGAGAGTCATCAAAGAAGCGATGGAAGGAAGCAAGATTGGTCGCCAAGATGTCAACAGGATGCCATATTGGTGGAATGCGGACATCGAGGCACTAAGAAATGTATGTATAGCAATGAGAAGAAGATTAACAAGAGCAAGAGGCAGAGCAGGAATCAATCCTGAGGTCATCGAGGAGATCGAGGAAGAGTACCGCGCAAGGAAGAGGGAACTGTACAGGAAAATTCGTACAGAAAAAAGAAGGCACTGGAAAGAGCTGTGTGAAAAACTGGATGAGGACATATGGGGTCAGGGATACAAGATCGTTATGAAAAAGTTCCATGCGTATCCTCCTTATGAAATGCCTATGGACAAGAAGCTTGAGGTAACAAGAGAGCTCTTTCCGGACGGCAGATGTCATGGTGTATGGAGGGATGAAGGAGCTGAGCGGGCTGTACCCTTTACCATGGATGAACTTGTCGAGGCATTGGGTTCACTCAAGACTCGTAGGTCCCCCGGACTGGATCAGATACCACCTGAGGCGGTAAAGGGTCTAGGACGGGTGGAGCCTGCGTGGCTTCTGGAACACATGAATGCATTGCTGGAAGCACAAACCTTTCCTGAGCCTTGGAGGACATCGAGGTTAATACTGCTTCCCAAAGGTAGGGAAAAGTATCGCCCCATCTGTCTTCTTCCATGCATCAGTAAGCTCTATGAAAGGATGCTACGAGTACGCATAGACGAGATGATTGAGAGGTCAGGTGGTTTATCTCGGAGGCAATTTGGTTTTTGTAAAGGGAAAAGCACGATTGATGCAATTATGAGTGTACTCGAAACATTGCACAACAGAGGGAATGAACATCGCTGGGCGGCCCTGCTGTTGTTTGATGTTAAGAATGCATTCAATACGCTGCAGTGGAACGAGGTAATGAAGGCAATGGAGGAGAGAGAATGTCCTGGTTACCTGATGAATGTTATGGCGGAGTATCTGTCCGAGAGAAGGATTATGGTGGAAAAAGGCACGATCGTGGACGTGACGGCCGGGGTACCCCAGGGATCTGTCTTGGGCCCGACGCTATGGAATCTGGCATATGACGGGGTTATGCACTGTGAATACGGAGAGGGTACAACCCCCTTCGCATTCGCGGATGACCTCGCTGTACTGGTAGTAGCCCGGGATGAGCCAGATCTCAAATACCGGGTTCGGAACGCAGGTGGCGTCGTAAAGAAATGGATGACGCAGCACGGACTAAAACTTGCGACAGAGAAAACCGAAGCCATTATTCTGAAGGGGACAAGGAACAGGCAAGGTGTTGAATTAAAATGTGCGGGGGTATGTCTAACACCCAAGACACAAGTAAAATATCTAGGAGTGACATTGCACCAGAATGGAAAATGGGGGGAACACGTTCGGGAGGTGGTCCGAAAGGCTGCGAATAGTGCGGCTGCGTTAGGGAGAGTAATGCCGAACATTGGAGGACCCAAATCCGAAAGGAGGAGGGCCTTACACGGTGTTGTACAGTCTATCGTTCTCTACGCAGCACCAGTCTGGAGCGAGGCGGTAGAGATAACGGCCTATAGGAGTCTTATGAAACGAGTAGACAGAACAAGTCTGTTGCGAGTAGCATGCGCCTACAGGACTGTGTCTGCGGCAGCCTTATGGACCATCACTGGATGTGTTCCGTTGCATATTTTGGCGGTGGAAAGAAAAGAGCTTTATGAGAGAAGAGGCCCAAACCTTACTGTAGCTGAGAAAAGACAGGTAAGGGAAAGGTCAGTTGAAAGATGGCAAGAAGAATGGAACAATACGGAGGATGTGGCACAGTGGACGAAAATTCTCATCCCTAACATAAGAGTTTGGGTGGACTGTGACCACAGGCGATTGGATTATTTCCTGACGCAGGTGCTCACAGGACACGGGTGTTTTAGGGCCTACCTTTATAGGATCGGTAAGGCTGATACAGATGAATGCCTGTATTGTGGATATTCGGACACTGTGACACATACGATGTTAGATTGCAGCAGATGGATAGTGGAAAGGAACAGAATGGAGAGAGAGACAGGTGTGAATTTTGTTACAGTGAGAGAAATGATTGAGAGAATGATTGAAAATAAATTAGGTTGGATTAACATACACAGTTATATCCGTGCAGTGATCAAAAAAAAGGAAGAGGAAGAAAGACAGCTGAACCAACGGCAAAGGTAGAGTGAATGATGCTGAAAGGTGAAGTGGGTCACACTTTTTGAGTTAGAATGCGTGAGTATGACTGTGGGGAAAGAGGAAATATCCTTCTGAGAATGATGCCGAACTAGGAGTGTGAATGTGTATGAATGGAGAATGAATGAATAAAGGTAGTGCTTCGGAAGTGATGCCGGCCTTACAGCGGCCATTCCGCTTCCGGATCGCTGGATGACAGAGGAGGGTCTGGTTTAGCAGGTAGGCGTTCGGCGTAGACTCGGCGACGAGAGGGCATTTTAAAGTACCTCGGGAACTATCGCCGGGAGTACGAAGAACGAATCCTGCACTAAGGTCAGTCAGGCGGCGTCCTGGACTGAGATGTCTTTTGAAGATTCCAGACCCCCCCTCTATAAAGACGAAAAAAAAAAAAAAAAAAAAAAAAAAGGTTATATTTCTGATTTCGTGATAACCTACCTACACATAATAACAAACTAGGATGAACCCAATTTATGTTGCATATAACTTTTTATTCAGTGCTTTATTTGGCAAATAATTGTTTTAAATATTAATCAATATTTTCTGCCTTTTAAGAAGCAACAATAAAATGGCTTCAATACGGACGCGATAGCGACATCTAATTACAAAATCCGTAAAATAGTTTCGAAACACAATTCAGATTTCTGCTTATAATCTGAGCCTTCCAAAAATTGCAAGACAAACAGACGTTGATAAAAGATGTTAAAAGGGACATGGGGAATCTAAAAATTTGCATTCCACGACATGTCTTTTACAACTAACAAATATTTGCTGTCTTTTTCATTTTATTTCGGATCTACACTATGTGAGTACTAGAAGCACAATTCGCTAAGGATTTCTGCTTAGTTGTAAAAGACATGTCGTGGAATGCAAATTTTAGATTCCCCATGTCCCTTTTAACATCTTTTATCAACGTCTGTTTGCCTTGCAATTTTTAGAAGGCTCATATATATGCAGAAATCTGAATTGTGTTTCGAAACTATTTTACGGATTTCATAATGTAATATTCTCTCGAGGCTGTTTTAAGTTCTGTAATTGATTTCGTTACATAACTTGTATTTTTTCAGAATACTGAATTTGATATTGACCCAAATACTGGTATGATCACGGAAATAAGCATTAATGGTGTTTCTATCAACTTCACACAGGATTTCTTGTATTATAAAGGATACGTTGGCGACAACGTGAAATTTATCAACCGATCTTCTGGAGCTTACATTTTCAGACCTTATGGAGATCCATTCAAAGTCGCTACTAAGGCCAGCTTCAAGGTTATCCGAGGTCCCGTAGTAACCGAGGTTCACCAAACGTTCACCGACTGGATCAGTCAAGTTGTCAGGGTGTATGAAGAAGAAAACGTTATCGAATTTAATTGGCTGGTAGGACCTATACCTATTGAGTAAGTAATGTTATAATATTATCATATTTTTAACATATTAGCGCGACAATAAACCAAAAATTTGATGTTTTTGTCGAAAAACTAAGAAAAAAAAAGAAATCTGAATTCTTGAGAGTTTTTACCAGTTATATATTATAACCTGTTACTTTTTTCAGTGATGTACATGGCAAAGAAATTATCACAAGATATAAAACTTCCATTAAATCTAATGCCACATTTTACACGGATTCAAATGGTCGTGAAACATTGACGAGAATCAGAAATTTCAGGCCAACGTGGAATCTGAAATTAGAAGAACCAGTATCTGGAAATTATTATCCAGTTACCACTAAAATTGCTATTAAGGATGACGATTTAGAATTAGCTGTGTTGACAGACAGAGCGCAAGGGGGAACTAGTTTAAAGGATGGAGAACTTGAACTTATGGTAACAATTTTATTTTTTTCTTTTCGACATTTCTGTTTTTCATTTTCATATATATATATATATATATATATATATATATATATATATAATATATATATATATATATATATATATATATATATATATATATATATATATCTTCAATCCTGGCCCCCCAGGGGGAGTGTAGTGGTCGACGTGATGTCGTGTATTGTCTGTCTCCAGAGATCTCTGTCTCTGGTCATTTCTTTTAATTCGTGCATAGGTCTTTGGCATATTCCTGTAATTTGATCTATCCATCTTATTGGGGATCTTCCTCGTGATCTTCGGCCTTCTACCTTTCCTTGTATTATGAGCCTTTCCATGTTTTCTGTGTTTGCTCTCATAACATGCCCAAAATATTTTAATTGTTGGAGATGGACTTTACTAGAGAGTCGTTGGCTAACTTTTAGCTCTCTTAAAATTGAATTATTTGTTCTACGGTCGGTCCAAGGAATTCGTAACATTCGTCTCCAACAGAACATTTCAGTGGCGTCTATCTTTTTTCTCTCCGATTGTCTCAGAGTCCAAGATTCACATCCGAAGGCTTTTGCTAGAAGAAGGCCTTCAGTTGCCTGGGAAGAAAATGTACGGCACATAATGAGAGATAGAGCCATCAGAGAAGACGAATGGATGGACAGAAAACGATGGCGGTCGAAATGCGAGAAACGGCAGAGGCTGTAGGAACCTCGCTTATATATATATATATATATATATATATATATATATATATATATATATATATATATTATATATATATATATATATATATATATATATATATATATATATAACTTTTGCTAGATCACATCTACGTTTAATCTCTTCTTGTAATGACCCTCTGTTTGTGATTAATGATCCATGATATAAGTATGAGCTCACAACCTCGAACCGGTCAATTGTGGTTATGTGTGGATGATTGTTGTGTAGTCTATCCACTATCATGATCTTTGTCTTTGATATGTTTACTTGCAGACCAAATATTTGACTTTCGTTTTCGATCAGTCGTATAAGTTCCATCAGCTCTGCTTGACTATTTGCAAGAAGGGCTGTGTCATCTGCGAAACGTAGGTTGTTTAGTTTATGACCATTTATTGAGATGCCCTTTGCCCATTTCAAAAGGAAGTTATAACTAACTTCTTTTTGAGCATTCATTAAATCAATTATATTAAAGATATAATGTGCACAATTTATTTTAGATACACAGAAATTGTTTACATGATGACGCTTTTGGTGTAGGAGAAGCTTTAAATGAAACAGCATTCGACAAGGGATTGGTAGCTAGAGGATCACATTACGTTATTCTGGGAAGTTCCAAAAACAACAACCCAAATGGTTAGTAAATTAGATATTTTATTCTTAAGTCTATCAGATAAATAAAAGTTAAAGAAAGTTTACGGTAATACCAAATCAATTAAAATTTAATACTATTAAATATAAAAATTATTACAATCATCCATATTGTGTATTGGATACTACATTAAAGACCAAACGAAGGTTAAACCACTGTAGGTTTATATAGTTTTAGTGTCGAACTAAAAAAATTGTATAGTTGCAATAACAAGAGGGTGGTCAAGTAGTGGGTTCTTAAGTCTCCGTTGCCTCTGCCACGAAGTCATAAACAATGTAACTACTGGGCAATGCACAACACACAATGGATTGTGAAGTTGAGCTAACAAGACAGGGTGAAGGACGATCTTTCGGTACCTTTTAATAAAAGAAATACTTGAACTAAGGAAGACAACTTCTTTAGAAAAATTAGTTTTGTCAGAAGCCCTAATTAGTCTTCAATCTTACCTTAAGATTGCCGCCCTAACACCGGAATACTTAGCAAACCTGCATTGGAGAATATAACTTATTGTAGCGTAATTAAATCAAACGAGCGGTTCGAATTTATATAAATATATTTATTTATAACTTTACAGTTCGGTATTCTCTTATCAACTCCACTTAACTCCTAATTCCGTTACATATATATACCAAAATTACTATGTTCGAGAATATTCAGGAGTAGTCCCATCTCTAATTCGTTATCTTACGACGCGACGGGTGGAATTTTACAGCGCTCGATATAATTATCGCCGGTAACTTCTCGATCCTTCGAGATGCGACCGTTAGGTAATCCACGCTGAATGCATGTTCGTAACATTATTTACTTATAATCCACAAGTTTTGTCGGACAGATCTCACTGAAAAAACCAAGGCCTTTAAGTAAAACAATTTAGTATGAGGAAAAGATTTAAAAATAGACACATGGAACATACGAACGGTCCTAGGACCGAGCCCTGTGGCAGTCCTATCGATGTCTGCATAACATCCCCCCTAGCTATGTTAATCTTTTTACATCAGAAATATTCCTTCACTATATTTTGTAAATATGAGGATACTTCCAATTTCTCTAGTATTTTGGTTATTACTCTTCAGCTCGCGCAGAAAAAGGCATTTTTTTTATGTTCAGAAAGAAGGCTATTAACCACTTGCTCCTGCATGTGGTTGTTAATTCCGTGATCTGACTGACTGCGTCTATTGCAGATTTCCCTATTGCGTCTATTGCAAGTTCCCTTTATCTACAACTTATTTGCTAGTCTTATCTTTAGACTAGGGACGGGAAAAACGAAAACCGGTTTTTTTACTTCGAAATAACCGGTTTTATCGGTTGTTTTTTTTTCTCCCGGTTATAACCGGTTTTTTATTTTTAAAGTAAAAACCGGTTATTAGTTTTTTACAGTGATTAGGATTAGGTTAGGTATTATTTTGGATCCCACCCAATCATATTTATTATTCTCAAGTAATTATTCCAAACAAAACTAAAATTCAATTTTTATTTTATTTTATAAATACAGAAGCAAACTGAAAGTCACTCACATCAGCCAGAAACAATTAAATTTTATTATAGTATTTTGTTGAAAAAGTATTTGTAATCATAATATTCTTACATAAGAACTAATCATGATAAAAAAGATTCTAACAGCGCAACCTATGGGAATGAGACGACGGGGTAGACCAAAGCTGAGGTGGATGGATGGGGTAACACAAGATGCGGAGAAGATCGGAGTCGGCAACTGGAAAATTCAAGCAAGGGACAGAACAGAATGGCGTAGAAAGCTTGAGAAGGTCGAGGCCCTCTAAGGGCTGTAGCACCAAGATGATGAAGAACTGATCTGGTATTTATACATCATCTATTTTTCACACTTGACTCTTGACATTGAAAGTGGGTAAATGGCTTTTTCTGATTACCAAAAATAGTGACTATGAATATCGAGTTACCGATTACGAATACGAATCTCCAAGGATTTCCCTACGTTTTCAAAACGATTTATACCCATACCGGAAGTCGTAAATGAGTTAAAAGTAATACATGATAATTTTTTTTGATGATAGTAAAAATAAAAGATGAATTGCATTATCCAATTTATTTTTAGGTAAAATATTTATGTTGATATTATTTTCTTTAAATCCCATTTGAAAGAGTCTGGGAAATTTTTGTTGGGGAATTTTTTTTAGAACACAAAAAATTGTGTTGTATTTACATTGATATTGATGTTCTTTCGATAGTACTAATTTTGATCATATTGATATCGAGTCGAATGTAGTATCGCAAACTAAAGTGCATTGTAAATGTAACTTTCTAATCTATTCGAATAAAAACCGAAAACCGGTTTTTTTCAAAAACCGTTTTTTTGGCCGGTTATAACTGCCAGGTTAAACCGTAAGCAAAAAAAACCGGTATAACCGAAAACCGGTGTTTTGTCAAAAACCGCCATCCGTACTTTAGACGTATTTCAAAGATCTGGCCCATCAAAATCTATCTGGCCCTATCTGTGTTCAAAAGGCAGATCGATCTAAAAGGTAGAGGTTCCCCAAGTTCTTTTTAAGGTTTGGAAATATGTAAGAGATTTGACGTTTTCCATGCTTCTGGGAATTTTTGCTTTCTTAGAAGGTCGTCCATGATTTCTTTCACCATGGTGCTTTTTCCTCTACTGATTGTCTTTACAATTTCTGGTAATACTTTGTCATGTAAAAGTGCTCTCCCGGTCTTTAGTGCTTTCCCTGTCTCCATCAAGTCCTCGGAGCTATAGATAGACATGGCATTTAATTTTTGGTAGTCCATTGTGAAGTTCGTATGTATTATTCTTTCGGAGATATAATGGCAGTTATTTATGTTGTCTTTAATTTTTTATGGACAAGTATACCTACGCCTGCTCATGCTCGTTTTTCTTTCTTCACTCCACTGTATGCTAGGAAATATTGGATATATTTTTGGCCTTTACCTTTCTTCTTGGTTTCTTGGATTGCACAAATTGCAATTTATGCAGTCTATGTTTTTATTTATCAGTTCTTCAATTATCTCTTGGTATTTGTTATTGAAAGAAGTAATGTTCCATGTTGCTAATCTGATTGTGGGTTTATTTTTCCTTCTCGTTTTCCTTTTCTTTGCGTGGTTCGTCATCTTAGGTTCCGTCTGATTTCGAGGCTTTATATCGGTTGAGCATTGTTTTCTTCTACAATAGGTAGGACGCTAACCTGACTTATCAACCCTCCTCTTTTATCCGGGCTTAGGACCGGCTGTGGATATAAACGCGGCTTCTGAGCTATTCAATCCACCCAGTCATTGCGCTCATAATCCCCAGGCAGAGTTATTGCACCAACCTAGCGACAAAATAAAAGAAAATTTGACCCATTTGGTATATTTATTATATCTAAGCAATCTCTCTCTCTATCAAAATAGACTCCATCTGAACATTGACTTGCAGTTGATGCAAGTTTCAATGTTGTCTTTTGTCTTTAGTTCGAAAAAATTAAGGTAAAATTGAATTTGTCACAATATGTTTCAAATATATGGTGAAAAATAAATTAGAATATTGTGGTTTAATCCAGCTTTTTTTATACATTATTTTTTCTTTGAAAAAGACGTTGTTTTGGATAATCTTGTGCGTATTGTCTCAAACAATTCTCGTATAAATAAATAATGTTAAAATTCATCCAAATATCAAGCATCGGTGGTTCAGTGGTAGAATGCTCGCCTGCCACGCGGGCGGCCCGGGTTCGATTCCCGGCCGATGCATCACTTTTTTTATTTTTTTTTATTTACAGGTTATACAACAGCAACTCAGGTACATGATCAGATTCAACAAAAATTATTGTCAGCATGGACTTTTGTTTCTGGTACTGAAAATCTATCTTTTGAGCAATATAAGTCAAAATATATTATGCAGGTAGGTAAACATTTATGTAACACTTAAGATTTTACTTATAATATAATCAATTCTTAAAACTTTTCTTATCACAATCTTGCTGGAGAAAATATTAATCATGTTCCTACCATAAAAAAAATGAAAACAATATAAAAATATTATTTATTTTAGTATGCTGGATTAAAACGTAATTTGGATAAAAATGTTCAAATTTTGACATTAGAGCCTTGGAAAGCCGATACATTTTTATTGAGGTTGGAGCATGTGTTTGAGATTAATGAAGATCCAATATTATCTAAACCAATAAGGATCGATTTGAAAGTAAGTATGGCGACGTTAGTTTTTTTAATTTTTTATACATTTCACCTCCCTTACACATTTGAAAGTATATAACTATAGCACCATTCATTTCGATGTTTTTCTTATTTTCACCTTATTTTCTTACGTTTTTAAAAATTCTGCTGCCATCGCTATCGTCTCTAATATGGTTCTCAACTTTGTCCGGTAGTCGCCAATATCTTCTTCGATATCGTTAAGCTGGTCCTCTCGCTTTACTTCGAGAGTTTCCTTAAATTTATCAGCTGTTCCAGATATGTTATCGCTTGTATTCTTTAGTTCATTTGACATTCTTTGGATTGGAACTTTTAATCATTGCTCCTCATCTAGTAAAGTTACGTCACTAAAGCCTCAACATAGTCTAGTAAGATTACTATACTTCCGCCTAGTCTTCTCCACACTCCTTTCTATGTATCCTTGCGAACGAAGCATGTATCGGCAATTACCACGTTTACATGTGGTACATTAGATGAGTCTGCTTCTTCTTGCACTCTTTATGTAGATTGTGTGTTTTCTAATGGTTGATGTGTAGGGGAAACGTGGATACACTGAGGCGAAGAAATTTAGGTATTCATGTTTTTCTTTCAAAATGTTTTTATTTACCAAAGTATGGCGAAAAGACATGACTAGGTTAATTGGCAATACATATGAACACTTAAAGTACCAAAAATATCGTATAGAAAAAAGTTACTCAAACAAAAGAATAGATGCAATTGTCTCACTGTACCCTTCCTTGGAGGAACAGTGAGACAACAGTATCTTTTTATTGTACAGTGACTTAAAAATGTTTCTGAAACTAAAACGTAAGAAAATAACATACTTTAGACTTACCTTAAATACGTAACTATCGGTTACTATCAACACCACACTGTTATTGTTAATAGTTTTTTCATACAAACTTTAAAATTGCGAGCAAAACAATTACTTTGACAATGACTAAAGACTTGACATCGACTAAGAACAAAATGCTTTAAACTGTCACTGCTTCTAAAAGGTCAATGTCATAGTCATACCATCAACTTAGTTTTAGTATATTGGTGCCAACAATCGAAATTCAATTTACCAAATATTGGCTAATGTCTCACTGTACCCTCTTTTCCCCTATACACCTATGTATGCATTAAAATATTTTATTCAATATATAATAATTCAGCTTCATACAATTTCTTGGACAGTGCTGTAATATATAGTTTATCTCGAAAAAATATGGCAATCATACGAAGAGAATATACCCGTCTAACACATGGCTATCTGTTAACATCATCTCCACAACCAAAATGTGATCACTGTAACACAACTTCGTTTCGAATGTCCATTTTGTGGAATTTCAAATCAAATGCACTAAGTAAGCAGAACTTGGTGAATGTTTTAGATTGTTATGGCTTAACCGTAACTGTGAATGATTATACAAGAGTAACTGCAACTAGTAAAACTCAAATTGATTATATTGCTAAAACATAAATCACCCACAAAAATCAATGGTTGTGGAAGGTTTAATCTCTGATCATGGTTCGCAATTGTTCCAATGTAGCCTTAATACAGACAATGATGCCTATATATTCATCCGTTCATATAGTGAAAAGAACATAAATCGTTTTGTTCAAACCCTTGAGTCAACAAATTCGTCAGAGGTATTTAATACAATTTCTGCTGAGGGTAAATCATTAGCTTTTTTAAATACTATCCAAAATAACTTTCGGTCCCATTTTCCACTACTTAAATGTAAACCTAAAAAATTTACACGTTCGAATTTTTTTACGCAGGAACTGTACAATTTAAGGGATCAGCTAAAACTTTTAGAAACGATCTGTCAGTAAAATATCTTCATTTGCCAAAAGCAGAATATTCAATTAAATTAAAAGCAGCTAAAAGCAGTCACTTCATGAGACAGTTAAACGAATCATCAAATAAAATGAAATGTATTTGGCATTTAGTAAACTTAACAGTCGGGAAACAAAATAACTCAAAAGTACCTAGTGATGATAACAGTAATTTAGCAGACAAATTTAATCACCATTTTGTTGAAATGGCTCTAAAGTTACTTGCCGCTTTGGATTCTACTAAAATAGGTGGGTTTACATCAGCATCAATAGACCGTAATAGTTGTTCTATGTTTTTATATCCAACTAACCCACTGGAAATAACTAGTATAGTCGGAAGTTTTAAATCCAAACACAGTTGTGGTTTTGATCAGATTTCCCCTAAGGTATTAAAACAATGCATTTATGCTCTCGCAGATCCACTAACGGATATTTGTAATGCCTCTTTTCAACAAGGAATATTTCCTAGTATGTTTAAACTATCTATTGTAATCCTTTTATTCAAAAGTGGTGATAAAGATGACCTTAACAACTATCGTCCCATAAGTCTCTTATCTGTGTTTTCAAGATAATTGAAACTCTGGTTTATACTAGAATGAACGCATTCCTAAAAAAGCATAGTGTCTTGCATAATTTTCAACATGATTTTACATCTTCTAAGTCTACAACTACAGCTCTTGCAAATTTCGTCAACTTAGTGTTGGATGCTTTGGACAGACGAGAGAAGGCATGTGGTTTATTTCTCGATTTGTCCAAGGCTTTTGACAGTTTGGATCATAATTTGTTGCTAATAAAACTTGAGGAGACTGGTATTCGTGGTGTAGTTCTAAAATGGATTACTTCCTACCTAGAGAATAGAAGACAAAAAGTAAAGATAACATCTAATGAACTTGTTAACGAATCTAACACATTGGATATCCATTACGCTATCCCTCAGAGTAGTGTATTGGGTTCTCTACTTTTTATAGTATTTATTAATGATATAGCTTTGGTAACTAATTCACTGACTGAGGTTAACATCATCAGTTATGCGAATGATACTAACATTCTAGTCACAGGAACGTCGGATCCAAATTTGCAAAATAAAACTACACAGATATCTACTATCCACCATCAACAGTTATTTCTTATCCAACAAAATAGTTTTGAATGAAGAGAAATCAAAGTATATGATTTTCACGTCAAATAATTTATTAAACCATCAAGCCAATATAGAAGCAGCAATAGATAAAACAGACTGCACGAAGTTGCTGGGGTTACTTCTAGACAGTAATTGTAAATGGTCAAATCACAAGTAGCGTATGTTATGCATTGATCATTCTTTCATGTCTCTTTCATATATTAATATTAAAAAGAGTATACTTTGCCCATTTTTACTCAATAGCCAAATATGGCATTGAAATCTGGGGTTGTAGCTCTGAATTAGAGCAGATATTCGTACTTCAGAAAAGAGCTATTAGGATAATGTATAAAATGAAATTTAGAGACTCTTGTAGAGGCATCTTTAGACAGAAGAATATTCGTACAATTCCTGGTCTGTATATATTTTCGTGTATAATGTATTTACATAGCAAAATTTATGAATTTAATCAATTTCAATTTAACCATGTTTATTCAACAAGATTCAAAGACAATCATTTTATGCTTCCACAACATCGTTATGTTTTGTTGGAAGGTAGCACAAATTATGGAGCCATAAGTTTCTTTAACAAATTACCAATAGTAATACGAATGAATTTACATCAGCCAAACTTTAGGAGGTGTGTACATCAATACATTTGTGAGCTAGAGCCATATTCTAAAAATAACTTTTAAGTATGTTTTATCGTGTATATTAATTTATATAATTATAAGATGTATGTCTGTAACTTTGACTTGTGTCATACATGTACTTCATATAATGACGCATGTGATCAATAAATTTGATTTGACTTGACTTGTAATTTATATTATATACCGTATTATGAACTGAAAACTGTAATTTGTGTTAGTGACCATAGGTATCACATTCTCTTTTTTAAATAATTTAAAAAAATTGATCTTCGTTTATTTGCACTATTACTGTTAAATACATGTACTTCATATAAATTTCATACCGATGCACGTCATTATCTACGTCAGAGATGGAAGTTGACATAGTTGCCAAAGTATAAAAGAATCCTGACTCCATTTTAAATCAAATAGATCACATAATTATTGCAAAAGTATTACCATCTCTTTACAACGACTATTTAAATTCTTACGTGACATTTTTGAAATAAAACACACTAATATTGTTCTAAAAAGAACAGATTTTATTAAATAGGTAAAAATATAAAGAGGTATTTACTTTCAAATTCAAAATAATAAAGTACAAAAAGTGTCAACACCGCAACTGTCAAATAAGTGTTACCAATGTATGCCAAAATTTCACCTTCGTTCGATTACAGTTACCGTGTGTTTCGAACAAATATTCTTCATAAAAACACTTTATATTGCATTTATACAAATTAAATGAAGCATATTATTGTGTATTTCTTTAAGTTGACATTAATAGAAATTTTTAAAGATTATTTCTACCCGTATATAATAAAATATGTCTAGTGGCTGTAATGCCAGTGTACTCGGCAAAGTGATTCTAAAAAAGAACATACCTACCACTAAATATTTCGTGTTGGTATCATGTGACGTCACGGGCTATGACGCCGATGACTTACATCGGTATGTAAATTAGATGAAGTGTATTTAATTATTTGTATTAGTTCCATTTGGAACAGTTTACAATTTTTTTGATATAATATTCCTCTTTACCATATCAAAAATTTCTCTTAGATCAATGAATCGCAATTCTAATGTTTCTCTAACAGAAAGGAGAATCTTAGGTGAATCAGGTTATTTTATTACCTAACCTGATTAACATTTCAATCAAGTTACGTAATACAGTTATAAAAAATTAAAATTCGACTTGATTTTTTAGGGTCTCTTCGCTCCATTTGAAATATCAAATATAAGAGAAACAACCCTGGGAGCCAATCAATGGTTATCCGAAAACCATCGTCTAAACTTCGACTCTGGTTTACCGATAGAAGACTTGTGGCTTGCGAGCAAAGTCTCCGATTACCAAAATTGGGCGCAATACAAATGGAGAGAAAGCATAAAGAAGAGGGTAGTTGACGAAACTGATGAGAAGGATAATGTGGAAGATTTGCAAATATTACTGAAACCTATGCAGATTCGTACCTTTGTTTTAAATATTAGCAAATAATTATTGTGATTTTTGTATTTTTTAGTGAATAAACAATAGCTTTGATATGATAGTAACATTTGTTTTTTTTTATACGATGTGAAGTAAAAATTTAAATGAGTACTTATCTTTCGAATAAAAAGATCTAACCTTTTATTTTTGTTTTGTGATCTCAGTTAGGGATGTATTTATACAAAGAACTCCATCAATGCCAAACCTCTGCAGAAAAACTCAAAGTTTTAACCAGAGCCAAAAACCTAACCGTCACAAACAGATCCAACCAAAACCACCCATCCCATCCCGGCGTCCAGTCCCAGAAAACATCACATAAACAAATCTAAATGCACACATTCCTTAATAATTCCGCAATCAACTCAGATTCAACCGATTATTTTTTTTAAACTCAAAATCTACCCATCTATCAAAATGCAAGTCACTTACAGTCAAGTATCCTTACAAATCCGTCACACTTAGAACCAAATCCAAAATCAACACATAATCCCTTATACCTTATATCCCATATTACGGTACAATACCATTACAGTTACACATAACACACAACATGCACCTGCGACAGAAAATATACCTATTAAACCTTTACCCCCAACCTTACAATCAAAAAACACAAAACGAAACACATACAACACAATCAACTCAAACAATCGATCCGAACGATCCCCTACAACCATCACACACAAGCAACAAAAAACACAAGACAACACAACCCAAGCAAATACCATATAGAGCACATCCCACCAAACATTTGCAAACAAAACACTTCTCAACAATATTCTAAAATTAAACGAACTTTTTCCCAATAACATAGCCCACTTAAAAGTCTATTCATTAGACAAAACAGCACCCCTCAACATATTTTAACCCCTAAACATCCACGAATTCCAGACAAAACTAAGAAACAATATCGTGTTAATCACTATTGGCCCCATATATTTCAATAACACTCCACAAAAGTCACAACCAAAATCCAATCAAACCTCACATCTCGTCATGACAGGCGTCAACAAAAATTTTTCACAAAAAAAACATTGAAGACCATCAATTATAAGGCCAATTCCCTAACATTTAAATTGTTAGAATAATTGTTTGGTAAAATAACATCCCTATACACTTTGTTCAAGTCTTCGAGAACTCAGAACAAAAAATCTCAGAAGCACTGAAAAAATGAAGATTATACGTTCTGAGATCCTTGGATCGAATAACGTCATCCCCCTAAGCTTAAAATATTGTTCTAGATGCTGCCAAAGCGAACGTCACAACACAGAATACAAACCAAGAGCCACTATCTCTCCAAATTGCGAAGAAAATCACAAATCATATAAACGGCAGATGCATTATCCGGTTCAAACTATTGCGGCACAACTCGGCATATTCACACAAATGTCCTGCCAGACAAAGGGCTCCCTCAACATAGAAACACACACATACAGTCACTACCCCAGACAAATTTCCTCATACCAACTCACTTCGGACATAAAATCGATAATTAACCTCATTCCTATGATGTTTTTCTACGTATTACCTAAAAAAAACTCCTAGCAATATCTCTAACGAGATCTTCACGCTAACGAGACACGCAATCGTAGTGTCAACCTTCAACTTTTCTATAAATCAAAGATTTATACAAACGAGATTTTAATCCCGTTACATCCCACCTAAGCTCTAGCTCTTAGCACGCTGCACCCATTAGCCATCGACAAAACTACATAACTCCTTTATAGCCTATTTAATTTACACAAAGACAAAGGAAGATTGGTTTTCTGTGGTTTCCCAAACTCATTGCATAAGATATCTCTACCAAGGTGAGGAACTAGCCACAGCTAACCTCTACGCTATTTACTAAATAAAGTACAATCAATTCTGAAAGAAATCGTTCCATTTTTGGATGCATCTGGTATTTTTATCAGCTGGCAACCTCAACTAGTTCAATGAAGTTGCCCACCGAATATCGACCCGATCGACGTTAAGTTCCATCAAACTCCCACCTCGACTCCTACGCCAATCTTAAGTCATTAACAGAAAATCGTCCCAAACATACAGAAAAACTCCAAGAAGAGGAGTGTAGCCTAAAACAAGGCTTTACCACCCCTATCCTTTTTCTTCTTCTTCAGCTTTTTTTTTCCAGGGGTCGCTGTTCCTTACTCTTCGTCGCCACTCATTTCTGACTATCGGTTCTTCTTCACCTAAATCTTTCTCTCTCAAGTTCTCTACCACACAGTTCTTTTAGATTCTCCTCGATTTTTCTCTACCTCTCCTTCCATCAACTTTTAGCAGCTCTATCTTTCATCCCACATAGTTTTCATCTCTACGTCTGACATGACCACAGCCTTTTTTCTTGAGTATTTTTTAAAATTGTAGTCACCTTGGCTCTTTCACCAATTAACTGGTTCCTAATACTGTCCTTTCTAGTCTTACTCAACATCCTTCGTAATATTTTTATTAAAGCATACCTCCATCTTATTTTCCTGAACCTTTTAAACCTACACCAACGTAGGTATCACCACACTCTTGTATATCTTTCCTTTCAGTTCTTCCCCGATTTTTATATCACAAAGTACCTCGCCCATTCGCTTCTAGTTGAAATAACCAGCCTGTAGTTCTCCCTCTTCAATAGCCCTTCTCCAACACCCCAACTTCCCCTCCAACATTTCTTTGCTCTCCTCTACTAACACGATATCATCAGCATAGTGCATTGATCAAGGAGCTCTCTCCCCTATTTTTTCTGTCAGTACATCCGGAACAAGATTAAATAGGTAGGACTTAGTAAAGAGCCTTAATGCAAACCAACCGTGACTGGTAAAATTTCGGTCGTCAATTCGCACAAGTCCTTACTTTGGTGTATGCGCTCTCATACATTTCCTTTACGAGCCTTATGTATTTCTCGGGAACCCATTTCTCTCCCATACATCTCCATAGCTCTTGTCCAAGAACTTTATCGTACGCCTTCCTAAAATCTATAAGTACCAAATATAGCTCTCTTTTCTTTTCTCCTTTTTTCTTTATCAACTGTCTCAAAGCAAACAAGGCATCCCTTGTCCCTCCCCGCCAAAATAGGTAACATATTGGTTTTCAGTCTTCATAAACAACGTGATAAAGAACGTTAATGAAAGCCAAATACCATGCCACTGCGAAGTCAATCAGACTATTTCGTTTATCATTTCTTATTCCCATCTCAAAACCTCCATGAACCATTTCTATAACCGCTCCTTATCTTCCTACATTCTAACCACCTCCATTACCCATATCGTTCACACAGAAAAATCCAATACCGAACCAGAACAAGGTACAAATCCAGCACGCAAATCATGAATATAAATAGCGCTCCTTCCAGGAGCCCCTCAGTTAGTGGCCATTCGCTGGCAGGTAAGGAATTCCAGTGGAGATTTTTCCAGAATTTTTATTCAGGTGAGTTTTTAAAAACTTTTAATATTATTATACATAGTTTATAGGTCAGTTTGTGTATTAAACTAAATATTGAAAAGAAAGTTAGTTGGATTATTGATATGTAATATAAATAATATATTATAAATACACTGTTTTATTTTCTTCTTCTTCTCAGATTGTTTTGTGTTTTGACGAAAATCCTAGGTATTTAAAACTTGGTTCGTGTGTTTCTATTGGTATTATAAGCATATTGGAACCCTAGCAAATTTGGCGTCAATTTATTTTCAGTCTTTTTCTTAATTTTGGTTTAACATGGTTTTTTTCTTCTTCTTAATTTTCTAAGGCCTACTAATTTTATTGAAATAAAACTTCTGGAGTTCTGAAAAAATGGCACGTAAGTTTTCTATGGTGTAAGAATGATCTTTTAATTTTGGGATCGGCTTGTCTTCTTTTCCTTTTCCTGTATTATCTCACGTATTTTTAAATCTTTCTTAAAACTTATCATATTGGTTTTATTTGGTGTACGAAAGATCCCTGTTGATTTTGGTATCGTCATGTCTTCTTCTTCCTCGTTCTCACTCGTATTTTTACACATTTTTTTCTCAAACAGTATCCTCTAATCTTAAAACTATATAGATAGTTTCCATTTATTATAGGATAAGGGTACTTATTGATTGTAGGCAAATTTGGCGTCAATTTCTTCTCAGTCTTTTTGTTAATTTTGGTTTAACATGGTTTTTTTCTTCTTCTTAATCTTCTAAGGCCTACTAATTTTCTTGAAGTAAATCTTCTGGAGTTCTGAAAAAATTGCACGTAAGTTTTCCATGGTGTAAGAATGATCTTTTAATTTTGGGATCGGCTTGTCTTCTTTTCCTTTTCCTTAGATTTCCTTAAATCTGTATAGATAGGTTCCATTTATTATGGGATAAGGGTACTTAATGATTGTGGGCAAATTTGGCGTCAATTTCTTCTCAGTCTTTTTGTTAATTTTGGTTTAACATGGTTTTTTTCTTCTTCTTAATCTTCTAAGGCCTACTAATTTTCTTGAAATAAATCTTCTGGAGTTCTGAAAAAATGGCACGTAAGTTTTCCATGGTGTAAGAATGATCTTTTAATTTTGGGATCGGCTTGTCTTCTTTTCCTTTTCCTTCATTATCTCACGTATTTTTAAATCTTTCTTAAAACTTATCATATAGGTTTTATTTGGTGTACGAAGAACCCTTTTGATTTTGGTATCGTCATGTCTTCTTCTTCTTGGTTCTCACTCGTATTTTTACACCTTTTTTTTCAAACAATATCCTCTAATCTTAAATCTGTATAGATAGGTTCCATTTATTATGGGATAAGGGTACTTAATGATTGTGGGCAAATTTGGCGTCAATTTCTTCTCAGTCTTTTTGTTAATTTTGGTTTAACATGGTTTTTTTCTTCTTCTTAATCTTCTAAGGCCTACTAATTTTCTTGAAATAAATCTTCTGGAGTTCTGAAAAAATGGCACGTAAGTTTTCCATGGTGTAAGAATGATCTTTTAATTTTGGGATCGGCTTGTCTTCTTTTCCTTTTCCTTCATTATCTCACGTATTTTTAAATCTTTCTTAAAATTTATCATATAGGTTTTATTTGGTGTTCGAAGAATCCTTTTGATTTTGGTATCGTCATGTCTTCTTCTTCT